TTTTGTTTTTTTTTTAATCCAGACTCATTGAAAACTGCTAGTTGAAAACATGAAAGCAAATCACTGATTCTTCTGTTGTGGTCCCTACCTCCCAAAAAGACCCAAAAGACATTATGAAAGTTTGCCAAAGTTCACAAGATTTAATTTGTAGATAGTCAGTAGTAGACAGTAAATTATGCATCTGTCTATTCACATAAGCCTTTTGTCTTCAGACCATACCAGATGCAGCTGTAAACTTAGAAGGTAAATCATTAACTAGAAAATACAGCATATTTCTCCTGAACCACTTTAGATGTGGCTTTCAGGAATATTCATTAATTTTATGATGTGCTTTACAGCATTAGTAGCCATGTCTCATCAAAGTATTGTTCAGTCTCACTAGTAAATTGGGAAATAGAAGCATTTGTCTCAAAAAACTTTCCTTGCCTGTGGACTTGTGTGCTTTTTTCTTTTAAACTGCTCCCAGATTTCTTTCCCCACGCAGATGGGAGTGAGATTTATAAAAAAAAAAACTTAGAAAAGTTTGTTCTAAATAGGTTGGAGGGCGAAGCTAAAGGTCAACAAGCTTATCTGTGCCTGAAGCGAAGGTGGACTGGAATCAGAACATGAACAGGACAAGCACAACTAATAGAATCAGCTGCGTCATCACTAGTAGAAAAAGTGGGCAGCGAGGGACTTTACTTTTTAGAAAGCAAATAAGAGATTTAACTTCTCTTTAAGCACTACACTTACAGCTTGCTGCGAACTTTTATTCTTCACTATTTTCCAAATTATTTTTTACTGTATCCTATATTAGCCAAGTTCATTTCACCAATGCATATCAACTATTAACTAAATACTGATTCTGTTTGTGCTCCAGCTTCAAGAAATTCAGTGTTGCCACCTGTAAAATTACACCTACATTAAGCATTTCAGCAGCAAATTTCCATTTGTAATGAATGTCAAGAAACTGGCGAGTGAAACTACTCTTCATGAGCAACACTGCTGAGATTAGCACAGAGGTAGAACTACTCATGTCTCAGCAGTTACCACACACAACGGCATTTTACCTGGAGTTCCAGATAAAGCAGCTTGAGCTCCTGTCAAAGTCAAGAGACCTCCTTCTTTCAGATGTTTTGTGGCTAGGTGACTGGAAATAGTGGATGTCCAAACACTTTGTTTCCACATCAGATCACAGTTTTTGTACAAAGCTGATTAGAAAGATAATTAGTTACAGTAACCATAAGAAAAAGGATCCTCAATTCTGTTTCCTTCCTATCACACATAGTACAACAGTATTACACAAAGTACTATAATGATATCTCAAAGGATATTTTTCACTTACACATTGAGTAAAATATCAATTCATATCTTTTACATCTCTGGGTGTCAAACCCCAGTTCTACAGCATGTATTCTAGGCAATTACCTGCTTTCTATAAAAAGTAAAAAATACTATATATAACCATTGGATAGTTCCACCATTAATGCTTATACTCAGTTCAAAGACTTCCAAATTTTTCAAATTTTTGTAAGGACTGCTTTAATCTATGTCAAGGATCTGAAAATTCACACATTAATTCCTTCTCACTCTGTAGCAGCATGATTTCTCTTTCCATAACTTCCCCACTGGCTGCATACAGTTACCTCCACTAGAATGCAGAAAGAAGACTCCAAGAGACAAAAGAGTTAAACAAAAATATTTCTTATCACCAGATTATATCACAAATCAAGAACAACACACGTGAAAGTAATCTGTTGGCATAAATGTACTAATCTATTAATCTACACTATACCAAGCGTGCATCCCAGTGCCTCTATACACCACAGAGCAAATTCTACTTCAGCAGCCCATTAGGACCAGGGAGAACTTCACAAGCAAGCCAAATTCAAGCACTCATCACTGTTTTTTCTCCTTTCCATGCAGGTACTGCAAAAATGCCTAGCCACCGTTCAGAAAGAATCCTTTTCAGAACGCAGCACAAACAAGTATGAGCAACGCAGTGAGGTAAGCTGACCACTTGATTCCAAGATACCCTGCTATCCCACCAGAAGAACTACTATAAATCAGGGTTATGACCAACCACCTTATTTCCAATACTGTGCATATTTATTACAACCCAATATAATGTAATTGTGGAAATGCATTCGCTTTGATTAAACTGTGTATTCCGTCTCACATTCTCTTCATAGGTGAAAATTTTGCCTATGATGTCTGAGCTGAGAAATGGGAGGAAAATACATTTTCTACTATTATTATTATTTTTTGTACTAGTAGGAAAAGCAAAAAATTGCTCTCCGAATATTACATGTTTAAAAGTTTTGTAAATCTGTGGACTTTTTTTTGTCCTCTAGAGTGGTGTTGAGTTGTTATCAGCTCTGGATTATATAGTAACAGCTCAGAGAGCTGCAGCAAGCAACTGCAGCTTTATCAGCAGCTATCTTATGGAAGCTGCCTGCCTTGTCAAAAGTTAGTTCACAGATAATAACACTGCACTCCTTTATATGGTGCATCAAGATTCACCAGTAGAAAACGGTGCATTAAAAAAACCTCTTCTGAGAACACTGAAAATGTAACAGGCCCCAATAATTCAGAAATGAGCTAAGATGCATTGTGATTGAGCTCTTCTGTACTGTTAGGCTAGCATCCTCTTCCAGACTCTGGAAGAAAGACGATCTCAGACTTTTATAACCATGATTTTTAACAACTCCTCTGAGATTTCATTCCCATATAAACTGACATGCACAGGCTTACATTTAGCTTTGGCACTGCCTCCAGCCCATCCTCCTGCTACACATAAGATCGCATCCACCTTCTCTTCACCAAGCAGCTTTCCAACCTCTGCTGTCACCTTCAAAACACAGAATAAAAACACTCTGAAGCCACTGTGAAGATAAAGGAGTAAACGCCAATGTAAAGAAGTAAATATCAAGATTGCTTTAAAGTTACTCAACTATGTAACCAGAGGAAAAAAATACAGCACAGAACAATTTAAACAACTGCAGAAAACTAAGAGGATCCATTAACTCGGAATAACCACATAACTAAAGATGACAGTCAGATCATACAGTGTGTGATGTCACTGGAAATAACTGATTTGAGCAGGATCAAGACATCCAACCTTACCTACATCATAAACCATCTTTTTAAATTATTATTAGACATTTCTTTTCGAAGGTACCTCTCTGCACACTGTCCCGTTTAAGCACATGGGACAAAAAGCTCCAGATCTGCAGAGCCGCTTCCACAACAATTCTGATGACAGCACAAGGAACGAACAACTGAATATCTGCCTTCCCCTTCTGCCTTAACCACACGATCCGTGCATCGCACCCCCGCACCCGAGGCGGAGGCTGATGGATGCACAGCACCTTTTCCTCCACAGCCGGTAACGCGATTGGTTGTAATTCCTGCGCCGCGGGGAAACGGGACCCCACTGCAGCCCGCAACCGCGGCACCGTCCCCGCGCGCTCCCACCTGCTCGGCCTGCTCGGTGAAGGACTCTGCGGCTCTCACCACCACGCTGGCGCTGGCCTCCTCGTTCTCGGACAGGTCGATGCTGGCGACCCACTGCGCGGCAAGAGAGCCGTTAGCGCCGGTCCCGGGGCACGCAGCGCCCCGCCGCCCCGCCGCCCCGCCGCCTCCCCGCACCCCGTCCCGCTCCCGCCCGGCGCGCACCCAGTTCCTGGACTTGAAGTACTGCACGCACTGGGACCCCAGGGCCCCTCTACCGCCGTACACCAGCACCCTGCCCGCCACAGCCATGCTCGCCGCCAGCAACCTGCAGCCCGCCCGGCAACGCAACGCAGCACAGCACAGCCCGACCCTCCCCGCCGCCCGGCGCCGCCTGCGCATGCGGAGCGGAGCCAGGTCCTATCGTGGAAGAGCTCCGCCCGCCTCCGAGAGCTTGGGGGAAGGACCCGCGTTTGCACATCCCAGCGGCGGGTTGTGTTACTGCCCTCGGGGACGTTGGGAGGGTTCATTCATTAATTAATCGACCAGTGGATCTATGGGGCTTGAGTAGCAGTAACCGTGGAAGCCGGCCCGGCCGTGGCTGTGTGCGGGTGGGGCACGCACAATCACAGAACCATTGCGGCTGGAAAAGACCTGTAAGATCACTTAGTCCACCGCCAGCCTGTCAGCACCGTGCCTGCCGACCAGGTCCCTCAGTGCCACACCTCCATGTTTCTCGAACACCTCCAGGGTCGGTGACCCTCCCACCTCCCTTGCAGCCTGTGCCAATGCATCACCACCCTTCCTGAGGACAATTATTTTTTTCTTTGTTATTTTCCAACCTGAACCTCCCCTGGCACAACTTAAGGCCCTTCCCTCTCATCCTGCCGCTGTTACCTGGGAGAAGAGGCCTACCCCCACCTGCCCACAACCTCCTTTCAGGGAGGTGTAGGGCAATAAGGTCTCCTGTGAGCCTCCCCTTCTCCAGGCGGAACAATCCCAGCTCCCTCAGCTGCTCCTCATCAGACCTGTGTTCTGCCACATTAGCAGTCCCCTGAGCTCTGGCAGCAGTGACATTTAGGCTGGCACAGAGTAAGCACCAGGAGAAGCACGCAGCAGAGACGTCAGCAAAACTCTGCTGTCGATTTCCATGCTTGTAGTGCTTTGTAGCTATTTATGCTTTTAATAGTCTTAAATAAATACAATTCTAGTCCTCATTTTCTTCCCATGTGGTTAAGGTATAGATCTCAATGTCATTTGAGCAAGACAATTAAACCTCTGGTGAAACATTAGCTTTGCAATAGATATAAGATTACTTTCGGCAGAAAGAAGCATCGCGGCGCTGCAGGGTAATGAAGCCGATGTTTGCAGCCATCTCAGGATGCTGTCGTAGCAAGATGTATTTTTTGACTTGATTTTTAACCGTGCAGTTTAATTTCTGGAGCTTCAAAATATAATGAAATGTATTTCAAAATACCTGCTGTTCAATTGTGGATTTTGGAGCATCAGAAAAAATTGGGAATGTGCTTAATTGCTGCAGAGAGGCCTTGGCGATGACTCCCTGAGACCACTAGGATGCCTGGCTGTTTCAAAAAGACTTTATTTGCCTTGGCTTCTGCAATAAGTTTTGCATCTTTTATCTTGATTGTTGTTGCAATGGGGACCCCGAAGTGGATGACCGGAAAGATCCTGTGCAAAACAGGAGCTGAATTAGTCAATGCCACAGATCCAGAGCTGGTCAAGTTCATTGGAGAAATTTACTATGGACTCTTTCGAGGCGGCAAAATACGTCAGTGTGGGCTGGGCGGGCGACACTCCAAATTCTCAGGTAAGTGCAGTTGTAGTTGAATCCCTAACTTGGATGTCTATAGTTCAACTCTAAAGGCACTCAGTTTTGTTTGCAGAGCTTGCAGCATGCAATTCATTATTATTAAACTGGCTTTCTTGTGTTCCGTATGGTTTGGGATTTGGGTGGGTATGTAAACTCTCTACCATTTCACGCTAGTTTTTTTTCTCTGGTTATGTTCCATAATCCTGGAATCAAGAAACAAAACCCCTAGGGCTCGATTGAGGGTTTCCCCTTTAGTCTTGAAAAGTGAGTGAAAGTTACTGCTTGTGTTCCAGGCTGAGCTATAGAAGGAAGTACATTCAAGGTGACCCTGTAAGTCACACTATCCCCTTAACTGAAGCTTTCCTCTGATGAGTGTTGCTCTTTAGTATTTCTGCGCCTTCTCTAATGTTGCCTTCTTTGTTGAGCTCCTCACTTTCTTTATGTGCCTGTGGTATTTTTTTCCTTTTAAGAAGTGGAGATGTATTTAGCTGTCCACACTAATGCATTTCTCCATCTCTCCCAATGCAGATGTTTTCCATTGCAGATCCTCCTAACTTTGTTAACGTGTTTTAGAAGTTTGTAACTTCTTTTCTGGTAACTCTGAAGACAAAACATCATTGCTGAATGTGGATTAGTCACATTTCAGTAACCAAAGTGACTGGCAAGTAGGAAAGCAGGGCAAAGTTGTTGCTGTGCTTAGCTGCTGTTTCTTTGCAAGACATACAGAAATACAGTCCCATTTCTGTCACTCTATCTGCAGCAGTGACACAAAATGATAAAAAAAAAAAGTAGCCAATACCCTTTTCAATCTTTCTCCAACTTTCTGGACTCATTAGTATACTTCCTGATTAATTACAGTGTAAGCTGAGAGGAAGGCCTAGCATTCCACCGTCACTATGGAGTGTATTGATACATATCTGGAGGATGTGATCCTATCCTTCTTCGACAAACAAAGCTCTCACTTATGCTAATAAGAATTTTCCCAGTTAGAACTATAAAATTGGGTCATTAACTGCAATGGACACAGCTATGTGGTTAGGAAAACAAATGTGCAAGAGATTTTCCCTTTTAAATACTTTAATCGCTCTGTAAAGGTTGAAAACTTTGCAGCACTGGCATCAAAATCGTGGTAGTCCTACAGAGCTGTTAGACTCACCCCCTCCCGGGGGTGTTTCCATTCGCACTGCGTCATCTATATGAGACCCATGTGGTTTTTCTGGAAGTCCTAAGGCACATAAATTGGTGTGAGATACTCATGTTTTGACATCTGAATCGAGCCCTGGGAACGAGCTGGGGAAGCAGACATTTGTCTGTGTGCATGGCAGACACAGCTGGAATGTGTCAGCAGCCCTCACGGCAATGTTCTTCCTGAAGATTCTTTCTTCTTTATTAAACTAGGCTTACTGCTCATGGATTTGGAAGAGAAGCAAAAAAATCCTTACAACTACCCTGGTGCTGGTTTATAATAAAGCTAAATACTTTGCTTTTTTACTGCCAGTTTTTTTTTTTTTTTTTCCTGTGAGAAAGTAAGCCAGTTTCTGGCTTCTTATTTCACAGAATCACAGAATTATGTTGTGAAACCAAGAAGGGAATTTGGAATCTGAAACCTGTGGAATTAGGAAATACGAATTCAGAGTAGATTTCACTGGAGCCCGTAGGAAGAGAGAGAAAGAAGAATCACATGAAAAAATAAATTAGACAGGAGCAACACTTTTTCAGGCAGCAAAGAACTGGATAAGGAAACTGGGACTTCTGTACTTCTAAGGGATGAAATTAAAAGCATGGGACAGAAATGGGAGACTGGAAAAGAGGAGTTTGGAGCAAAAAACGAAGGTGATTTAAACATTAACTGAACAAGTTAAATAAAACAGTACTTAACCCTGAATCCTTACTCACAGGTCCTCTGTGAAGGATTTTTCCTGTGGCAGAATATATCCTGTTTGTCTGAACAGTGAGAAATAAAGCATAATGAACTATGATTAGGGTAACCACCCTTCTTTAAAAATAGCCTTGTTTAGGTATAATTTGAGTTTGTTGTATGAGCATAGTGTGCTGTTTTTATTGTTGTCAAGAAAAATTACACGCTGAATAGATTATTTTTTTCTTGCCAGTTTTCCCACATATGGTGAAGAAACTGAATACAGGCCTGCATGTGATGATAATAATGTTCCTTTGTGTGGCCATTTCCTTTTGTCTGGTCAGTTTTGGATTCTGCATCCTTAACGCAATAAAAGTTCCTTACCGTGCCATTAAGGGTCCGGCAGGAATATGCCTTTGGAATTTCCTTGCAGGTAAAAGAATTTACCAGTATTTTTCATCAGGTCACATTTGTTAAAAAAAAAATAAAAATGTTAACAGCAAAACTCCACTTGCTTTACTAAATATCTCCTTGACTTAAATATTTGTGAATAAAATGAAGTTGCAGTTAACTCTCATCTACCGAAACAGATGTGTCAGATGGCATTTCAGCTTACTGTACCTAGTCAACTTATTACAGGAGCTGCAAATGTTGGTCTTTGCAATCACTGATAAAGGGACTTTGTTGCAAACACTGGTATAATGCTTGGCCAAACAATAAAGGCTAAGCACTTTGAAGATGTTTAAGCCATGCCCAAGTCTACCTCATTTTGCTCACTTTTGTATTTAGTAAGTCTCTCTGAAGCACAACCGAAATGTTTTGACAGCAATGGTGAATGCTGCTTTTGTTTTGTTGCAGGTGGATTCGTAGCTCTTGCAGTCACTGGCTTTATGGCAGCTGTAAAACTTCACCATCTCACAGAAAGGATTGCCAATTTTCGGGAAAATGTCTTTCAATTTGTTATCTTAGAAGAACAGTTTGAAGATTGTTTTTGGATTTGTGTGGCGAGCGCCACAGCACATGCAGTGAATTTGCTGCTAATACCCATTAGTTGTATCAATTTCCCTAAAATTAAGACTAAAACAGAAGAGGCAAATGTTACAGCTGAAGATATCATGTACTAATAAATCTACTTAAGATTTCTTTGGTGAAGAGAACTGTCATTCAGAAACGGCTTCTTGGCTTTTCTGCTTCTGGCTTGGATGGAGAGTTTTGGTTTAGACGTGAGTAAAGATGCCTGGTGTGCAATTCTGCAGTATTTTTTAAGGTCAGTCTACAGCACCAGCAATTAGCACACATGGGAAAGTAGGATGAACAAATGCTACAAACATTATTTTCAAAAATGAGCTGTATGTGCAATATATGCTGCTGACAGTTTTGATAAAACTTACATTTAAAATACTTTAGAAAAATAAGGTGAAGAGTAATTTCACCTAAACCAAATGTCTTCTTTTGTTTAGAAAGAAAATACGTTCAAGCATAAACCTTTGAAAACATAGGATAATTAAGAACAAAAAGACTGGATGTTTGCCAATTGCCTTCTCAGAATTATCTGGAAATGTTTAAGAGAGCCATCAAGGACATATTTGATGATGGTAAACTGATTTGAGGAAGGAGACCTCACTATCTGTGGGGCTAAACTTAGGGGGGGAGCACAGGCTGTGTGACAGTGTTTAAAAATAGAGATTTCATCAAACTCCACAATGTAAAGAAGTGAGAAGAGTGAAGTTTATGGGATGCTGGTAGGCTACGAATAAACGACTAGCTGCATGATGAAGGTTTCAATGCAAGTTCAGGAAGTAAAGTAAATAGAATCTAAGTAACAGTGCTTTTAGATAATCTGAAAAGTGTAACGTTAGTGGTCTTCAACCTGCTTCTGTCTGAAATCAAGCAAAATAAATATATGATGAAAGAGGACAAAAATGAATAAAAATGGTTACGTGGATGGAAGGCACCAGGAAGTACCCTAGTTCTGACAAGCATATAAGCAGCTCTTGCACCACAAATAATTAATATTTCTCTGAAAAGAACATACCATTAAACATGTCCTTTTTTCCCCCTTTAATTACTGTAGTGAACATATACTACCTTTTTAGCAATAGGAACTACAGGTAACTTATGAATTTCTTTGAATGAATGAAAGAAGATATTATCTAAGTTAATGTCAATGAATTATTTTGTAGTCAGTTGTGTGACTCCACTCTTGTGACAAGTTCTTTGTAAAAAATAGTAACGTTTGTAGGATTCAAAGTGTTTTTAAAACATCTCAAGATATTAAAAAAAAAAATATATATTTTTTTCAGTTGAAAACAACTCTTCACAAAAATAGTATTGTAAGGGTCATTTTCAGTAGTGCCTAACACTGTGTTTTATGTACCCAAATAACTAGTTTCATCACTGAATTGTGCAGAACCCTCAGTAAAGCAAGTTACCAGAAAAAGCTGATATTGAGCATTTTTGCTGACTAAGCTGCTTATGTAGATATTTAAATGAGGATAACTCAGCTTAAGTCAATGAGTTTAACATCTCTGACCCAGATACTTACTGTCCTCTCTCTTTTTACTATGTTTACATCTAAAGACCAATGAAAAAGCTGTCTTATGAAGAAAATTCTACTTTCAGTTGGTTTTTTTATAAAATACGTTTTGCTACTAAAATATGTTTTGCTACGTACACAGCAGACTCAAGCCACTGAATGCTGCAGCAGTTTATGTGCATGTTCTGTGGGAGGTAAGAAATTAAAACGATTCAATTAATCTTCAGCACATACTCAGCATGACCAGCAGGCATTTGGAAAGGCAGTATCACAGCTTCAAAGGAAATGTCATAAGCCAAAGTCAACCTATAGCTAAGCAGTCTCTCTGTTACTGTGTGCTATACCATCTCTGGTTTTGGCCCTACAAGGTCAGCAGGATTATGAGAGGAGAACTTTGTGCACCTGCTGTTGCAACAGGTATTTATCATCTCTTCACTGCAGTGTTAGCCATCCTTTTTTTTAGGAGCACAATAAATAAATAATAAATAAATAGGCAGTTTCAAAGTTTTGGTAAGTCTGAAGCACTTCCTATAATTTTAGCATAAAGAGGACTCGATAAAGTAGAAAGAAAAAAAGATTCCTAATTTATACCACATACTTCAGTGTTCTCATTTCAGTGGTGTTTTCATCCATCTCTACAGTAAGTCACAACTGCAGGAGGATGGTGCCATACCCTGGTTCATGGGGAGGCAGCAGGTTAACCCCTTCTGTCATGGTGCCTTTGGTGCTCACTGCAGTGCTTCTGTGGTACCACCACCTTCCCCCCCCAGAAAATTCAGATTGGCTCTGAAATGCAAGACCTTGATCTGACAGATAACTGAGCAAACAGAAAATGGAATACTTGTTATTTGTAAACATTCTATGCACATATAATTCAGAAGTAGTTGTTATACAAAAATAATTATACTGTGACCTGTAACTTAGCCTCTACTAAATGTAATTCTCTCTAGGAAGTGAAAAGGAAGCAGATTAAGAGGTGCACTGTGCTGAAAGATAACTTTGGCAATGCTTTTCAGTAGTAGTACTGTGTATGTACTCCCAGTGGAATATTTAATGCCCCAAGGGTTCCTCAACAATTATCATTTAAACTGTTACTGAATAAGAGCCGTGGGAGTACTTACTTGGATAATGGCAAGATTGCTGGACTGTTGAACTGGATTCCTTAGCAGGTTGCAGTCGCTATGAAAGAACCAAGAGAGAGCGCTGTGTAAGAAAAGAAGGACAGCTGTGTTGACCAGCTTTTGAATCTTGTTTTGAATCTACTCACCAGTGGAGCATGCTGTGCAGTAATAGTCCAAAAGATGTCTGACACCACATCTATGAAATATTTCTGAATCTTACTGTGGGATGTTACAGCTGCCTGAGCTGGATGATGAAATAGCATTACCGTCCAATTACTGCTGGTGAGAAAACAGTATTTTCAGTTCTCTTAGAGTGAACAGAAGTATTACTTTGCATGAATCAAACTGAATTGAACATAAACAAGGCTAAATTAACATTTCAGCTGCACAGGTTGCCACAGTTAAGCACAGCTGAGACATATTGATGGGAAAATACATAGAATGTTTGCCCTTTTGTTCCCTGTTGGGGGAAAAAAAATGGTTAAATGCAATCACACATGGTTAAGCTGTATAATTACAAAGCACTCCTTAAGATTAGCAACAGCCAGTGTTACCACTGCTTTCCCTTTTACATCCTAGAACACTTTCAGAAAACTGGAACTTGATTTATAAAGAATGATTTACATCAGCAACACCTATTAGCTACACTTCAAATAGAGATGTCCCTAATCACATGCATACTCAACATGTGGAAATGAAGGCTTCTTTGGGGGGACTTTTTACTCTGGAAGATTTGAAACCCCAAGTGGGTAAATTTATGAGGTTATCTGCCATTTGTGAAGTATTCGTCCAGAACTTTAAAGAGGTAACACATCAAATCCTGTTCATCCATACAATTAAAGATTACTTCAAATGCTCTGAAAACATTCATATCAGAGTATGGAGATGCTCCATGAAGGAGGTAGGGAAGCTAAGGGGCCATTCCTCAAAGAACAAAGAAACTATTGTTCTCTCCAAAATAAACAAAGATAAGAACTAACTCCTGCTTTGATTCTTTATTACTGTTCTGATTTAACATTAAAAAATGGATGCAATTTCCATCAGTCATTTTCTGAGTGACACTGCTGTACTAAGGCTCTCATACCAATGATACTACATATCAGCAAACCCCAACACTTTCCATGTGGTGATTTTGCTAGATAAACATATATCTACTTCTAGCTGAATTTTTCTGACATAACCATCTTTTTTTTTTTTTTTTTTTGGGGGGGGGGAAGGGAGGAGGGTAGGTTTGGGGTTGCATTTTGTTGTTGTTTAATTCAGGGATTATAACTGCTTTCTCTCAGAACCTAATGAACTCATGCTGAGATGTTATCACAGAATCATTTGAATTGGAAGGGAACCTTACAGGCCATCTAATCCAAGTGCCCCGCACTGAACAGGGACCCCTGCAGCTGCATCAGGTTGCTCAGAGCCCTGTCCATCCCGACCTGGTGTATGTGTAGGGATGGGGCAGGACCAGCTCTCTGGGTGACCTGTGCCAGTGCCTACCACCCTCATCATAACAAACTTCTTCCTTATATCCAACCTAAATCTCACCTCTTTTAGTTTGAAACCATTTGCTCTATCACAACAGACCGTGCTAAAGAATCTGTCCTTTCTTACAGAACCCCTTCAGATACTGAAAGGTGGCATTCAGGTCTCCCTGGAGCCTCCTGTTCTCCAGGCTGAACAGCCCCAGCTCTCAGCCTGTCCTCATAGGAGAGGTGTTCCAGCCCTTGGACCATTTCTGTGGCCCTCTGGATGCACACCAACTCCATGTCTCTCTTGTACTGAGAACTCCAACCTAGATGCAGCACTGCATGTGATGTCTCAGCAGCACAGAGTATTGGGACAGTATCACCTTCCTCGCCTCGCTGGCCACAATTCTTTTTATGCGGCCCAGGATACGGTTGGCTTTCTAGGCTACAAGGGCGCAACGCCGGTTTACACCCAGCCTGAGCACGCAGCCTTCTGATGCAAGCAACCCTGCTCGTCGTGGCCTAACGTCCCCGCGCGGTCCCGGCCTCGCAGCAAAGCTCGCTCTCAGAGCCCCGCCTCCCGCTCCCCGCCCTCCGGCCCGGCCCCGCTCGGCGCGGGCTGATGAGGCGCGCGGTGCGCCGGGGTCAGGTGTCGGCCCGCCGCGCGGGGCTGCGTGCCATGCTGCTGCCGTGGGTGCGGCGGGCGGACGCGCGCCGGCTGGCCCGGGTTCTGCCCTTGGCGTGCAGCTGCTCGCAGCGGAGTGCCCTGCCGCGGGGCTACAGCCAGGGGGCGGGCGGGAAGGTGAGGGGTGAGAGAGAGCCGCGCTGCTCGGGGATCCTGGCTGAGATCCACGTTTGGGGGCCCGAGAAGGAGAAGCTCTGTGTGCTTGTAAATTACAAATCGGAAGTATTTTCGTTAGTAGGGACGCAAAGCGGTCGTTCCTGTAGTTACGCTGTATCTGTGGCGGTTCATCCTGCTCCACCGGCGTCGCTCTGCGCTACAGCGTCCGTCCCAATCTGTTGCCAGCACTAACGCGTGCTCTTCCGCAGGCCCTGCTGCTGGGAGCCTACGCGAGCGAGCGGGAAGGCGGCGGCGCGCAGCTCAGCGCGGCGGGGGACGCGTTCGACGGCCGCGTGTCCGGGAGGCTGCGCGAGCTGCTGGCCGCGTGAGTGCTGCGTGCCGCGCTGGGGGAGGTGGAAGCGCCTGTAAACGCCAGCAAGAGCGGGGCGGTGTGCTTGGTCCTTGTTAGCGTTTAAACACGTAACCCTTCGCAGGCCGCGCGGCTTGGAGGGAAGCTCCTGGGGAAGAGATGCGAAGTATCTGTGGGGGCTGCTCTTTATCGGGATGAGCCGGCGCAGTGTGCGGCGCTGTGTGGCTGTGGGTTGAACGCAGCAGTTTAACTTTGTTACCGTACGGATCTGTTCACTGGAAGAAGCTTCTTGTGTTCTAGATGCGGGGCCCCTCTGAAGAAAGGCAAAGCACGCATATTCCATGGTTTGCATCAGGTACGGGCAGTGCGTTTTCGTATGTGTATTTCTGATGTGTGAGATTTGCCCTTATGGCTTACTTTAAGCTTGGTTCATTGGTGTGCATCACAGATATGACATATCACCCGCTTCAAGGTGTGCTTTTGGTGCCGTTTGAGAGGTCCCAGCACATCTAATGCCTCTGCACGGAGCTAACGAATACGATTTGTGCCTTGCCGAAGTGCTGCTAGGCAGCCGCTAGGTGTCCCCGTGTGAGTAATTGCATCGTATTTTAGGGCTATGTACAGATTTTAAACAAATCAGGTTGTAGGAATTATTGCCTGTCACCTGTAAGTTCCCATGTGCACAACAGACGAGTGATGTACCCAGCTAAAAGGCTGTCATGGATTCGTGGAAGACCCCTGGAAGGTCCCATTGCCCCAGCTGTACATACAGGATGGCCCCTGAAGTAAGCAGTAAATCTCCGCAGGTGAATGCAGTCGAAGGTGACCTTATGCACTTTTCTATGCGTGTAAGATAAAATCAGCTAAAAAAGGATAACCTGAATCATTGATCTTCTGGGAAGTTTGCACTAGTTCCACATTTTCAGAATTAAGACACTTTGTGGTGTCGTAGTTTGAAAGCCAACAGAATGTGACAGAGCTACTATTTGCAATGGAACGAAAAGGAAAGTCTAAGATTAAATTACTGCAAAATCTATTCACATACATAACCTTGAGTATGGTTTTATACAGATTTGAATTCATCCGTAAAGGTCTCCCTTCATCTTTGTTGTCTTTGCCTTTTTGCCTCCCGCTTCTGGTTTGTCAGGCACGTGGCTTGCCTGAATTCTGGATCTGCGTACCCCTGTGCAGCTTTGGTTTGGCACTTGGCTAATTGTGCCAGCTCCACTCCTGAGCTGAACTGCTAGGCTTAGGCTTTGAAGAGACTTTTTTAGATTGAATGTACTACTGAGCTAAAATGGTTGCACTTAGGCAGCTCACATCGGGCCTCTGTTCTGCAGCAAAAGCTGGATTTGTTTTTAAGACTTTTAGACTTTCCTGTAGAAGTATCTTTTGCTGTATGGTGAGCATAAAGCCATATCTGCTACAACAATTAAGTGTAAACAGTGCCCAACTGTTTGGATCCCTGTGGCAAATGACTGAGAGTGGAAGACGGTGTTACCACACTTTTTTAGAAGAAAATCTGTAACAAAGAGAATGTATTTTAATGCTGTTTGGCTTGATTTGGGAAACGTAGTCTTTGTAACAACCCTGTGCTGTGGCTGTAACAATGAGGAATCCATTTGTGTGTTGACTTTGTGTAGGACTTTCCAAGCGTGGTTGTAGTTGGTTTGGGTAAGAAGAATGCTGGAATAAATGACCAAGAAAACTGGAATGAAGACAAAGAAAATATCCGTGCAGCTGTTGCAGGTTAACTTTTCTAATTTTCTTAAGCCTTTCATCTAGAGAAGTCTTTTAATGGTGCCACATGTTCCATCATAACCACGTGAGCTATGAGCTGAGACAAGAGGTCAGTCGCACGCGTATGACGGCTCTCTGTCCCAAGAGCTAGACCAGACTAGCTGCCATGTTATACTGTTCATAAAAGCGTGGATGAAGTATTTTGTGAGAAAAGAATACAGAGCCTTAGCAAAAACTAAATCACAGCAAATATCTGATACCTATACTCATAGTCCATAACACTCCAGAATAATGGAGACTTTCTTTGGTATGGGCCAGGCTTAAAGGAATCAGAAGTTTAGGGCCTAATTGTTGCAATTTATCAAGTTACATTTTTCATCACCATTTGTCAATATGTGGTAATCAGCTTTTAAAATTGTTTTACCACGTGTTCATTTCAGTTAATTTATTTATGAACTTAGGTATCATAAGTAAACTTTTTTCCTGGAGGTGTTACATAGATCGTATCAGACACCTGTTTTGCTTTTCTGTGCAATATGACCTACTCATCCTGTACTGTATTTTTCAGTTGGTTGTAGACAGATCCAAGACCTGGAAATCCCCTGTGTTGAAGTGGACCCTTGTGGAGATGCTCAAGCAGCAGCAGAAGGTGCTGTCCTTGGATTGCATGAATACAATGAGCTGAAGCAAAAAAAGAAACCTGTAGTTACTCCTCAGCTTCATGGAAGGTGATGGCAAAAGGAAAAGTTGCTTGTATATTTATCCATTTGTCTATTTCTTAAATTATGCATGCTTGTTCATGAGAAAAATGAAACTGAAAGAACAGGCCCAGCAGCAATCTCTCTCTTATCTCCTCCTAATCCTTTGAATTTCCTTAATTATTTTACACTCCAGGTACATTAATGGTGTTTGTTCCACACATTTTGTTAGTATGCCATGTTCTGAGGCTAAGAGTAAATAAATTCTGCTTCATATAAAAGAAGGGCAAGGATAAAAATAAAAGCAAAGATTACTTGAAACATGGTTCTGATGTAAAAGGATTTGCACTGGTACTGCATGCCAAAATTGTGGAGCAGAGACCAGACCATAGATACGTTTTACATAGTTCACTTGTTATATTTGCATTCACAGAATAAAATGCAAGGAGAAAAGCTTGGCTTCTAAGTAGATCTCACTGTTGCTTGAGAGGAGAAAGCAGACATTCCCATTTCCTATGCAGTCAGCTCTGTCTTTTGCTAGTGAAATTCTTGAGTGCAATGTGAGATGAGATCCAAATTCTACTCTTATCATGTAACCGTACTTCAGCAATGTGAAAAACAGAATTGAAGGCTTTATGTGGTAAATGAAAACTTTCATAACATGATTACAAATTTTGGAAGGCATATAAACCTTACGTTTAAGGATTTAATTCCAGAATAGTAAGGATTAGGAAAAGACCAAACGTATTAGGCAGTTTCACCCCTGCCTGCTCTGGGATTCTTCTAGCTTTCTCTGAAGCACTTGAAGCAGAGATGAGAACTAGACTAGATACACCATGGATCTCGCCTAGAATTTCTCATAGTCATGGTAATGGAACATTCTTGATTGCCTTAAATTAATGCTGATGTACTTTTGAGAAGGAGAGAACAAATGAATGCTGACATCTTTTTTTAAAGGTTGATGATCACGATTGTTACACATTGTTTTGTCTCTTTAGTGCTGGAAGTGAAGCCTGGCAGAAAGGTGTTATCTATGCGGAGGGTCAGAATCTCGCTCGGTACCTTATGGAGGCTCCAGCTAATTATATAACTCCAATCAAATTTGCTGAATGTATTGAACAGAAGCTTGGAAATTTTGCTAGCAATGTGAAGGTCCATATAAGGTAAAATCCCTTGACACTGCTTTTCTATTGAGTAAAAAAAGACCTTCCATGTTACTGAAATTAGTAGCATGCTCTCATTTTCATTCTGCTATCTCAAATAACAAAAGCAAGTGAAGTCTTTGTTGAAAAGGCCTAAAGGTGCCCAGACTGCAGGCTGCTCTCAGAATTAGGTGAGCAGAATAAGCAGATACTGTGACACAGCAAAATGATTAACTGCCAATTAGTCATGCTGTCAGTTATCTGCTTAATTGACACAAGGGCTGTGAAGGAGGAAGCCTGGTGAAGAATCAGTGAATAAATTACAGATACCAGATCCTTTTTACACCTCTTTTGTTCCCAATCGTTATATATACCTTTCTTTTTCTTGTTTATTTGGGTGTGGTAATTAAATATCCTTTATTGCTTTTTTTTGTTTGTTTGCTTTTTGGTTTTTAAAACGTTGAGATAGGGCCCTAAAAGCCTTTGCAAATTGAATTTGCACAGCTAATGCTTCTTGTCCCTGAATTTCTAGTTACTGGCCTTCAGCAGAAATGGCTGGTTGCATTAATAAGTGCTGCAGGGTGTTCTGGTGAAAGGGAAAAGACTGAGGGAAATCAACTGTACACATAGTATCTGTTCTGATGGCAGAAAGCAAAAAAGTAAGGGGATGCAACACTGTTACTTCGTGCGCCTTCAAAGACACAGCCTGATAGGCAAGTTGAAGTTCAACGTTTCTCATGTAGAAAGTACAGATCTGGTCTTCTTTGAAAATAAAAAAACAAACAGTAACTTTGAGGCAGGACTTTTCTGTTTCACAAAAGAAATAACAGTGGGATTTGAATGATGGTTTCCAGTGTAACTAAAATTGAATTAATTGTGCACAAGCCTTCGAGAATCATAGTCTGTCAAAAAGAAACAAAAGCTCCTTGGTCAGCATCCCATTAAAAATATATATATATATATTTCTGTTCCAGGCCAGAGTCTTGGATAGCAACACAGCAGATGGGAGCATTCCTGAGTGTAGCCAAGGGTTCAGCTGAACCTCCCATCTTTCTGGAGATTCACTATTTAGGAGGTGCTAATGCAGATGACTCTCCCTTGGTATTTGTAGGAAAAGGAGTTACGTTTGACAGGTACGTATGGTGATACTCTAATGGTTTGGGGACAAGGGGAAACTATGCTTTAGTTATTAAAGGGTGGAGCTCAGATGGACTGTGCGTAACTCAGACAAAAGATGTGCACTTCAAAGTGTAATCCTGTAAAACACAGAGGTGAAGCCTTGCTTGTACCTTCCTACTAGTTCTGTTGAATGCAAAGATGCTTTTTCTTTTCCCAGCACATCTTTCAATGCTGTTCCAGTGAACCTCTCTATGTAGCAGATTGTGCTGCATTTCCCAGGAATAAAACAAGCTTCAGTGACTGAACAGTGTAAAACTGATGTGCTTTTGGCTTGTGAGGCAAAATGAAATCCAGGGGAAAGAAACAAAACTTTTTGTCTTTTTTTAATCTGAGTAAACCGTGGGATGAAGAATTCACATACTTCAAATTGCAGTCTGCCCCTGGACACGTAGATCACATTTAAGCCAAGTAGAAACAGTTGGTTCTTTGCAGCAGGTTCTCATGTGGGACAGAAAAAGCAGTTACACATACTGAAGAATTTATCAGTCTGTTCTCCTTCCATATGATTGACTTTACCAAATCTACTATTCTTCTTTTTTACTCTATTATGAAGACTGCAGAGTGCATGAGAACTGGTTTGTTAGTCCACTGCAGATTACCTGAATTCTTATGGTGCAGAGGAAGTAATTTAGGTGTATTTTAGCTGAAAACTAGTCTGCTTGGGTGTTGTAAGAAGAAACCACAGTCTAGTATTTACTGATTTTTATTTATTTATTTATTTATTTATTTATTTTCTCCATGCTAAAACATAGTGATGGACAGAGTGCTTGTGTTTACTAATGTATGTAACGTCTAACATCTCCAAGCTGGCTAACATTTATTCTGTTATTTCAGTGGTGGCATTTCACTGAAGCCATCATCGGGTATGGATGCGATGAGAGCAGATATGGGAGGGGCTGCAACGGTCTGTTCAGCCATTGTGACAGCAGCAGCTTTAAATCTGCCTCTTAACATAATTGGTAAGTGCTTGGTAAGTGTGAGAATCTGAAAGCTTTCATTCTACAAGATTCTCTGTAGACAAAGGCATTTTCTATATCAGCAGTGATAACTTGTAAGACACTGTCTTACAGAAATGTCACAGGCTCTTACAGACCTGCTTCTCTCATTCCCTACCTCAGCCTCTCTTCTGTTTTCACTTGCTTATCAAAAATCCTTACTTTTGCAATATAATAATGCAAGGCAGAATTAAAAAAATAAATAAATAAATAAAAAATTAAGGCATGATTTTTAGAATTTAGAAGAGGGACTGGGGCACCTCACCTGTGAAGAAAGGTTGAGGGAACTGAGCTTGTTTAGCTTGGAGAAGGGAAGGCTCTGGGGAGATCTCACTGCAGCCTTCCAGTACTCGAAGGGAGCATGTAAACAGGAGGGGGAATGGCTGTTTATGAGGGTGGATAGTGATAGGACAAGGGGGAATGGTTTTAAATTGAAACAGGGGAGGTTTAGGTTAGACATTAGGAGGAAGTTTTTCACACAGAGGGTGATGATGCACTGGAACAGGTTGCCCAAGGAGGCTGTGGATGCCCCATCCCTGGAGGCATTCAAGGCCAGGCTGGATGTGGCTCTGGGCAGCCTGCTCTGGTGGTTGGTGACCCTGCAAGTAGCAGGGAGGTTGAAACTAGGTGATCAGTGTGGTCCTTTTCAACCCAGGCCATTCTATGATTCTGTGACTTGATTGTTAATAAACCTGTTTTTAGTGGGTTTTGTCCTGATGCTTTGTTACAAGAAGGAATTTGGATACCTATAAAAGCCATTAGAAATGAAAAGGAGTTAGCTGAGCTACCTCTGTTTGCCAAAGCTGAGGAGGATGGTGTATCAGCTTTTTCCTTCGGAGCGTGTCTCAGCAGAAATTTTAAAACAACAGAATAAGCTGTCTGATACTAGTTTGTAGTTATGAACAGTGGTTATTGCTTCTCCAGAAATGCTGTACAGTTAGAATTAAATCAGTTGATTCAGAAATTGTTAAAAAACCATTCCCTGATGAGATGTAGTCCGTTCTAGGTTAAGTTTTATGTTTGAAAACTGTAGCTTCCAGGTAATATTTTAGTTGCTGACGTGCTTCAACCAGTAGAGGGCAGCGAACCACACATTCTCACAAGATTCATGCTTACAAGTATCCCAAGGGAAGTAGTAAGCAAAAATCTGCAGAGCAGAAATCTGTGTACTTAACTCCAGTGAATAGCAGCAGTTTGCAGTTCTCTCATTGCTCTCTCAGTGCTTCATGCTTTGGGCAGGACACAGGAGGGGGTTATCCATGGGAATGGGGGCTGTCTTTCATCCCATTCACTGTTTTCACATCGACTGAGAGCTCGTGTTTGCTCTTATGGTTGGCATTCTATGGCAATTCCTTGGACCCCTCTTGACATTACACAACGAGGAGAGCTTGAACAGCTCAGAGTTCAGAAGTCTGATTTTCAGAAAGAAATAACTCCCTTTATATGTTACTAGTTCTTCATATATGGAAGAGATAAGGTAGTACCTCTTGACAGAAGCTTCGGTGAATTTTAAAGCTCCTCTGCTTTTGCTTGCCGGAGTATATGAAGTAGAAGTAAATCCTAGTGGTAAAATGGTGTAGGGGAAAAAAAGCTCTGGTGCAACACGCAGAGAAATCCCACTGATTGAAAATCAGACCATGTGACTTTCAGCGACCAGGAAAATTCAGATATTGAGCAATTCAAGGTGAAAATCCTACTGCTTTCTTAAGTTTGTTGTTTGTTTCCTAACTACTTTTTTAAATCTCTTTTGAGAAAGATGCTAGTAATGCACTTTTTTTTTTTTCCTCTCTGAGGTTTGGCACCCCTCTGTGAAAACATGCCCAGTGGTAAGGCAAACAAGCCTGGGGATGTCGTTAGAGCCAAGAACGGAAAAACAATCCAGGTATGCCTATGAAACTTGGATTTTTGAGTACTCTGAGTGAATTGGTTCAATCAGTTGCATCACTGTAGTCAGAGGATATGCAATGCAATGTAAGTTATTTACAAATGTATGTTATTAATTAGGAATTGCAATCACAGGCTTTTTTCAAACATATTTAAACATATTTGAAGAGGTTAGACATGTTCTACACATCCCTAATAAAAACTGGAAAGTATGGTAACAATGAACATGCTACAAAATATTGTCAGCTCAAGAGGCTGCAACGATGCTTATAAACACGGGCTCTCAGAATGAGAAACACAACTTGCTTCTGGCACACCTTTGAGGACAGTCACCTGCTGTCTGGAGTAAGATGTAAGTGTATTAGTTCCCTGTTGATATAATTAAGGTCTTTACCATGCCAGCTGCTCTGTACAAGCAGAACATCGTAAGATCTGTCAATTCAAAGCACACTGCCATACTATTATTTCATATTTAATCCAAGCTATACTAATTCAATATATTAAATGGTGCAGAAAGTTACTGTGCAGTAGACTGCTGACTTTGTGCAGAAGAAGATGGCTTACTCAATATTTCTGTCTGGATTTCTGTGATTCAAGCTTTGACCTTGAGGTTCTCTCTGCAGTACTGAGTTTGGTGGCATTCAGCTTGGAGGGAGAAGACTGCATGCATATTCCTCCTGCAATGAGAACTCTAGAAGAAATAGCTCGTGGGTCAGAGTGCGTGCAATTGATCTTGCAGATTTCATTATAAGCTTTCTCTGAAAGGAGAAAAAATCAGTAGCCCATGCATCTATTTTCTTCTTTAGAGGAAAAAAGTTTCAAGATTCAAAGAGAAAGCAGTTTCACAAGGAAGCACTTCCTGGCACACATCTGTGCATTCTTGCAGATCCCTCTCCTTCACAGTTTCTATGAGCCATGTTTCACTGAGTAAATTTTGATTAATTTCCTTGGGCTTGTGACAGTGTAGTCACAATCTGACAGCTGTTTAAGAGAATGTGCGAAAAATAAGTCGGTTAATGGGGTGTTTTCAGTAGTTAATCTCTTTTTATTGATTTTTTTTTTTCCACCTGGAGGTTGATAACACAGATGCAGAAGGAAGACTGCTATTAGCTGATGCTCTCTGTTATGCCCACAGTTTTAATGCAAGGGCTATTGTGAATGCTGCAACATTAACAGGTAAGCAGTCACCCTTCCCTGCTTCACTTTGGAAGCCAACTTCTTGTTATTCTCATATTAAATATTCTCATATTAAATGGTCTGTGAATTTGTTGTACTATGCATACAAAGACAGCCTGAAGCTGAAAGCAGGTGAGATGACTTGGCATGCTGCAGGACAAGAGCTTGTCCAAATTCTGTTCTAACAGCTTGTACAGCTGCAGCATGTCTCCAAGACTGGGGGTATTGGCATGCATGGAGCACAGTAAGCAATGTAGATGAAGTTGGGCCTGGCCCAGCTGAGCTGGAAAGGATAAGTCCAGGAGGACTTATGCAGACTTGAATGTCTCTGCACAAAGTTTTCCCATGCTTCTGTTTCTGGCTGAGCTTAATAGTAGATTCCAGGCAATTATGTCACTCAACATCTTGCCTAAGCACATTCAACCCCCAGAGATGGCTATGTGGTGCAGAGATACTGGTGAAGCTGTGGAAAACTTTGCTAGTTCTGGCACTAGCCGTGCTGAAGCCAAAACAGCTTCTTTGTGAACAGCCTCCTGGTTGCCTGAGTTCTGACCTACCCAGCACCACTTCTTCCATTACCTGAGCTATCTCAATCTCCATGATCCTACCTAATAGGAGAATCAATACCATCTTCTCAGGAAGTCACTTCAGTGAAACATCACAGAATGGCCAGGGTTGGAAGGGATCTCAAGGATCATGAATCTCCAACCCCCCTGCCACAGGCAGGGCCACCAACCTCCCCATTTCATACTAGACCAGGCTGCCCAGGGCCCCATCCAACCTGGCCTCGAACACCTTCAGGGACGGGGCATCCACAGCCTCTCTGGGCAGCCTGTTCCAGCACCTCACCACTCTCATAGTAAAGAACTTCTCCCTGAAACATCTCTTATTTCATGTGCATATTTTGCATAGTCGCAAACATAAAACATTCTGTTTCTTCTCAATAGTTATATGCGAATGGAGTTATAATTTTAAACATGTAAAAATTAGCACTGTGTACGCATCTCATGAACTGCAGCAACAACCTATCATAGCTACAATCACTTCAGGTATGACAGATTGTTGCTGAAATGTGAGCAAATATGGAAGAACAGATCAAATAAGAGTCCATTGTTTTGCTTAATAAACAAGCTGAGAAAAATAATCACCTCTCTCTCTCTGCTTTAAATCATGTTCCTCAAGCTTAACACATTCAAATGTTTGGAAAATGTTTATAGAGAGAAGCAATATTGATTTTAAGATGGTTGACTTGTGTAAAAGTATTTCCATGACAGGAGAAATGGGCTTCTCCCACTCCAGGCTATTGTTTGGGATCCTTTGGCACCAGGCAGGAAGGAGGACAGCTCCTGCAGAAATTTCTGACACTGAGTATTTTGCTTTTTAAATCTCCCTGGGATTGAGTGCCTGAAATAGCATCAGCGTTAGAGAAGCACATCTGTGACAACCAAAAAGTAACTGTGTATGTGATCGCTCTGCTTTAGGCGTGGTTTATTATTTTGATGGTGATTATTGTCATTTAAATTAAATTTGTGTATGCTGTGCAACAACCTCTGTGGGTGAAGTTCACAGAAGGAAAAGTACCAGATAGAAAATTGGATGAGTTCATAAACTTGAAAAAGTCTGATTTTCTATGTAGAAACTGTAATTATCTGTAATCATTTAGTGGGGTTTTTTTCTTTCTTTCTTTCTTTCTTTTTTTTTTTGAAAAAGACTTATTGCTGAATGCATTAGATTAGGTACATTACTATTAAGCTGAAAACAGTCAATTTTTATGAGATCTGGAATGCAATTTTCATGAATTCTTGTCCTGTTAGTTTAGCCTTTAAGCAACTTTAATTTTTATTTTTTTAAATAAGTGAAAGTGCACTAAAATCTGTAGGTCTTATGGACTTCAGAAATCATTGGTAGTGAGAATTAGAAAAGGAAGTACTGTGAGGAGTCTGTATGCAGGGTAATAACTCCAAAGTCTAACTAATGTAACTGCAAAGTCCACCTTTGCACTCACTGTATAAATTTCAAGCTGTCTTTCTATAGGTGCCATGGATGTTGCACTGGGGTCTGCTGCAACTGGAGTGTTCACAAATTCATCTTGGCTTTGGAATCACCTTTATGAGGTAGGCCATCAGCATTATTATCAAATGATAATTTTGTTAATAGCTGCTGTTTCTAAAAAATTAGTGACTTTCTTTAAAGAAAGTCTTACCTGATACAAATCTAATTGTTACTGTATTTGAAATCTCGTAGGAATGTGTTAGTATTGTATTTAATTGAAAAATACATAATTAAGACCCTTAATTGCTGCTTCCTGGATTTATATCACACAGCACAAAGCATGCATCATGATTTTGAGTGGTGTTGGCACCCTTTGACAACATACTGCATGTGTAGAAGCTCTGGATTATTGACAGTGATTAGATTTTGTTAAAAAGGTAATTGGTGTTGTTAAAAGCCAGACCAAAAGAGACATTCACACCTTGCAAGTGCCTGAGATGTGATGGACATGGGGAGTCTCTGAAGGGAAGGATCTGTGAAAATGTATATTACCAGGAAAATATGTTAATAGGGAAGAGAAGTATTCTTTATATTTTGCTTTTTGATTACCACCACCAAAATAGGATTCAGTTTTGTTTGCACTGTATTTCCAAATAGCTGACATTATTTTGGACCATAGAAAATTTTACAGAGTGGTCAAAGTTAGAAAAGGATAAAAATGCACAATGCTGATGCTTATAAATGCAGTTTAAAAATGGGAGGGAGAGGAAAAAACAGCAACCCCCTCACACAAAAAAGAGCAGTGAACTTTGCCCAGAGTCACCTTTTCTTTTTCAGGCCAGCATCGTGACAGGAGACCGAGTGTGGAGAATGCCTCTTTTTGAACATTACACAAAACAAGTAACAGACTGCCCTCTCGCAGACCTGAGTAACATTGGGAAGTACAGCAGGTAACGCTGCACCATCTCTCACACCCTCTCCTCACAGCCTGCAGCCCAGCGCTTGGGCTGGCGGTGTTGCTTTAGAAACGATCCCTCTTTCTGCTTCCTGCAGAGCTGGAGGAGCGTGCACGGCTGCTGCCTTCCTGAAGGAGTTTGTGACTGCCCCTCACTGGGCTCACCTGGACATTGCTGGTGTGATGGCCAACAAGGACGAGGTGCCATACCTGCGGAAGGGCATGGCTGGGCGCCCCACCAGGACGCTCGTGGAGTTTGCGGCTCGGTTAAGCCAAGACAGTCACAGTCCCAAATAAAATGCTTAAACGTTCATTCTAAAATCATCCGCTCTGCCTTAAGGAAAAAAAAATGCAGTAATGTCTGGGTAAGTGAGTGCCCCAGACATACTTTCACAGAAGTGATGAACTGCACATTTTATAAATCACAAACATCTCACTTGTGAGACTTTTCTTCCTCTGTTATACAGCTTTAAAGTAAAAATACGCTGCTGGACCTACCTGAGGTATTTAATACCAGACTGTGACCATGGGAAATGCTGTATGTATGAAGCAAGCACAGTTCTTGTAAACAATAAATCTTGCACAGTGTGTTTTGATTAAGAGAGAACTGACGGGGGGGGGGGAAGCGGAGCTGTGCGTGTTGGGGGTGCCCTCACCTGTGGTTGTGCTCCTGTGAGCTGTGGCAATGCTTGCAGAACCAGCGATGCATCACGCAGACTGGGCGTGATGTAGGATAGCGGTTTTGGTTTCAAGAACGGGGGAGGTGCCGTCAGGGAGGAAACCAAAACTGAAACGCGAAAAGTGGCGAAAAAGCCGCCGCTTACCTGTGGACCTGGGGAAGGCAGGGCTGGGGGCGCGGACTCCCGCCGTGCAGGCCCGCCTGCCGCCTTCGCTTTCTCCCGTCTCCGCCTGGGTCCGAGGAACGCCCCTGAGGAGCCGCCCGCCTCCGCCGTCGGCCTCGGCGCGCACGCGCGCTCCGCAGCCAGCAGCCGTGCGCCATGGCGGGCGCGCTGGGCGGGATGTTCGCCAACCAGCCGCCGGGACCCCCGCCGCCCGGACCTCCCGGCGGGGTCGGGCCGGCCGGCCTCATCCCGCCTCCAACGGGGCCCCGCAATCCCAACAACACGCTGGTGGACGAGCTGGAAGCGTCTTTCGAGGTGCCGGGGGGGGGAGGGAGGGGGGAGAAGGAGGGGGAAAAGGAGGGGGGCGGGGGTCCGTCCAGCGCCGCGCCCTCACCTCTGCGCTTCCCTCCCCGCAGGCCTGCTTCGCCTCGCTGGTCAGCCAGGACTACGTGAATGGCACCGACCAGGAGGAGATCCGCACCGGTGAGGCCCGGCGCGTGGCCGAGCTCCGCTTTGTGGCTGCGCGCTCGGGTTGTGTGCGCGGGTGGGAGAGCGTTGGTAGCGGCGTGGTGCGAAAGGGGAGCATCCTGTCAGTACGCTGTATTGTGAGCCTTACACTGAGCCGGCCGCTTGGGCTTGCTGCCAACGTTTCTTGTTCAGCCACAGTGCACGGATTATTGTACCGCTCTTTATCATTGTAGAAAACATGATAAAACTACTGGGGAAAAAAATGTTTTCTTGCACCTTTAAGGTAAGTGCTGAGAATTTGCGAAGCAGTGTTTGATGCAGAGAGTTAATACACACCTTGTGCTATTGCCGTGTGCCAGAAATCCCATCCAGAAGAGCGTAAGATTTATTCCGGATGGTGTAGCGAAAGGTGTACTTAGCAGCATGCACTCAAATGCCGCTATGGGCCTGCGGTGGCTTTCTGAGAATCTTTTCTGTCTTTCCCTGTTGCTGTTCTACCTGTAGGTGTGGATCAGTGCATCCAGAAATTTCTGGATGTTGCAAGGCAAACGGAATGCTTTTTTCTACAAAAAAGACTGCAGCTGTCTGTCCAGAAACCGGAACAAGTAATTAAAGAGGTATGCTAAATTATAATTGAAGAGGTATGCTAAATTGGTTTACCTTTGTTGCGCTGGACCAGACACAGTGCGCAGCAGTGCAGGTAAATTGCCTCATTTGCACTAATCTTGGGTTTCTCACTGTGCCTGAAGTTGGTAAAACCTGGCTGTCAGTGTAGCTCTCAGCACAAATCTAAGGAAGTGGGATAGGATGCCTGGTGGTCTGGGGAGAACAGAGCGCAAATAATGTTGATTCATCTGAAGAAACAAATGAGTTTGGTTTTGCTAGAGTAATGAGCATAGAACTGTTGGTTGGAAGGGACATCAGGAGACTTTCAGGTCCAACCCCCGTTCAAGCAGAGTCCCCTGGTGCACACAGCCCACAATTGGCCTTTTGAGTAAATCTACAGAAGGAAACTATGCAGCCTTTATCACCCACACAGCACAGAAGTGCTTCCTGGTTACTTCCCAAGCTCTGACATAGGTAACCTAGTGTATGTGCAGGAACTTGTCACTTAAGGACTTTTAAGCATCCCTTTAAGATTAGCTTGAAAAGCCAGGCTTAAAAATTTGATGTATGTTAAGCAAGGTTCTTTATTACTCCTAGCATTGCTGCCTGTTTACTAATACCTATTTTTTTCACCCACAGGATGTTTCAGAGTTAAGAAATGAATTACAAAGAAAAGAAGCATTAATTCAGAAGCATTTGAGTAAACTGCGGCACTGGCAACAAGTCCTGGAAGATATCAGCGTACAGCACAAAAAACCTGCAGAAATGCCCCAAGGTCCCTTAGCATACCTGGAACAGGCATCTGCTAACATTCCTGCTCCAATGAAGCAAACATGAAAACCTGATAGTCTTTTTACTTCATCTGTTTTTTTGTATAATGTAATTTGTACTACAAATATAAACAGATAAGATAGAATTAAGTTAAATAAATACTCTTTTTTTGGAGAAAAAAAACACTTTGGTTTTATACTTAAATTGAAAGTATACAGAGTTCCTGTTCAGAATGCTTTCTGGTAGAAGTGTACTTTCCACAGTACATCCTGTTCTTTCTGGAAAGGATGGTCCTAGCTTTGCCCTGATTGTATCTTGCTAGTATGATGCAAATATACACAAAGGTTCTTGTTAGGATGGATGGATGTCTCTCTGCAAGTGCTTAATTTCTTCATGTAGCTGAGGAGTAAAATGGGATTCAAATCCTCCAGCAGTTGCAGATGAGCTACCCAATGCATAACACTAGAGTGCTAGTTGGACAATTCCCTCTCCCTGTGTTTGTTGAGGAATTACCTGAATGTTATTTTATTTACAGGTGCCTTTTTGTGAATAGCACCATTCCTTCCAGCAATAAGGTGGTTGGTGTGGCTTGATAAATTCAGTCGTTCACCCACGAGGCATTTTGCTGGGCATCAGAGCAATATGGGGACAATGCATGCAGTTCCCATAAATCTGGAAGTCTGTGCCTCAGTCTGACTCACACTTCAGCATAACAGCACTATTTTGCAAGCCGTGAAAGTTGGTTACTTACAAGCAAGTTTTAATGTTCGTACTTACATACTATCCTGATTCATCAGGCTGACTGTTACATAAGTTGAAGTGCACCAGGAACATTACATGACAACGCTATACAAAACAGTCCATTAAGCTAAGCAGAAAACATTTTTAAAACAGCTTGCTGTAAACTTGCTATTCTTAGATGTGTATCACATGCTGCTCAGCATAAAACAACTTTACAAGAAACCAATTTAAAACAAAATTACATTACTATGCAAAAAACAGCTGATGAAGCAAGCATATAAACCTAGAGAAATCACTTACTTAGAAGTAATATCTTCATCTGGAGTCTGTAGCAGGACATTAGAGGACAAAATGAATATTTAATGTAATTGTGGAATGATACATTCTCTTGAGTAAAAAGTAATTTTACACAGCAGTATTAAGAATTTTGCTTTTTCTTCTTTTTTTCTTTTTTTTTTTTCAGAGGTTATTACAAAAAATGCATTTTGCTGAAATCTATGCCTGTAATTCCATTATAATTAGATGTAAGAGAGTGCTGTTGTTCCTAACAATATCCTTGGAAATTATTTCGACACTTTTTGTTGCAGAACTTATTAGATTAACATTCCCTAGCAGAAAACAAACAGCTTTTCTGGTAAATCTGAGGAGTATGTAAATTATCTGCTTTAAAAAGAAAAGTATTTAGTAAACCACTCTTGATGCTCAGGGTCTTGCATTTGGTCATCTTTGGTTTGTGGTGGTTCACTGCCATGCATCCTGTGCAAACAAATAAACGTTAGCATTGCTTACAATCTTAACAATATTTAGTATGTAGTTTGTTGGTTGTTTTTTTTTGTTTTTTTTTTTTTTCTTCAGAAAAACATTAAAATCCAATGAACAGATCTGTGTTCACATAACTGTGGAATCCGTGCCAACTAGACAAAAACTGGGCTAAGAGCACTGGAATTAAGACAAGGAGAGTGTGAAAAGGAGCTAAGCAGCAACAGAGGAATGTTTGAAAGTAATTCTTGACATCTCAGAAGTATAATAATAGGAAGTTTTGAAAAACAAAATGGCAGCTGCAATTCACTTAAAATATTCAGTTGGTGCATGAAAATTGGACAGAAGTTTTATTTAGAACTGAACATTTTATCTCAATGTTAATTGGCCTCTATAACTGATCCTATTACATAATCCCCAAATTTTCAGGATTCAAGATGCTTTTAATACACTTGTGTTAATTTCACTTAGTTTACGGTAGCACATGAGTTCATATCATAGTTCATGTTATCTAATCCCAACCACCCTGCTATAGGCAGGGACACCTCCAACTGACCAGGTTGCTCAAAGCCCCACCCAGCCTGTCCTTGAATGCCTCCAGCGAAGGGGCATCCACAGCCATGCTGGGCAACCTGCTCCAGTGTCTCACCACCCTCACAGTAAAGAATTTCTTCCTAATATCTAATCTAAATCTACTCTCTTGCAGTATGAAGCCATTTCCCTTCATCCTGTTGCTCCATGCCCTCTTAAAAAGCCACTCTCCAGCTTTCTTGTAGGCCCTCTTCAGGTACCAGCAGCTCACTGTAAGGTATCACAGGAGCCTTTTCTTCTACAATCTGAAGAGCCCCAGCTCTATCCTTGCAGGGGAGGTGTTCCAGCCCTCTGATGATCTTAGTGGCACTCCTCTGAATCCGCTCCAACAACTCCATGTCCTTCTGTTTGAGGCCCCAGAACTGGATGCAGTACTCCAGGTGGAGACGCATAAGAGCAGAACAGAGGAGCAATCATCTCCATCGACCTGCTTGTGACAATTCTCTTGATGCAACCCAGGATACGGTTGGACTTCTAGGCTGCAACTGCACATTGCTAGTTCATCTTCAATCTTTCATCAGTTGACACTCCCAAAGTCATATTGGTTACCACTAATCACGTCATCTTTATTTTCCATGTACCCTAGTAAGGCCTGGAAAATCTGCTCCATGATCTTGCCAGGCACAGAGGTAAGACTGACTGGCCTGTAGTTCCCTGGATCTTCTTTTTTTTCCCCTTCTTGAAAATTGGGGTTATTTTTCCTTTTCTCCAGCTAGTGGGAACTTCACCAGAGTGCCATGACTTTTCAAATAAGATGGACAGCAGTTAGGCAGCTTCATCTGCCAGTTTCCCTTAGAACCTGTGGATGAATCTCATGAGGTCCCACGGACTTGTGCACTTTAGGTGGTCAATCTTCATTTACAGTGGGCAGATCCTTCCCAGTTTTTACCTTTGCTTTCTGCAACCTGGGCAGTGTGGATAGAGCCTTTGTTGGTGAAGACCGAGGCAAAGAAGTCATTGAGTACATCAGCTTTCTCCATATCTCTCATGATCATGTCTCCAGTTTCCTTCCAGAAAGGCTCCACATCTTCCCTGGCCTTCCTTTTATCACTGGTAAACCTGTAGAATTTCTTCTTTTTCCCCTTTATGTCTCTGGCTAGATCTAATTCTACCTAGGTTTTAGCTTTCCTAACCTAATCCCTGGCTGCTCAGACTTCTTGGTAGTCATCCTAGATAACCTGTTCCTGCTTTCACTGCCTATACACTTCCTTTTTATGACAAAGTCCAGGAGTCCCTTGTTGATCCATGGAGGCCCCCTGGTATTCTTGCCTACCTTCCTCTTTCTTGAGATGTACTGCTTCTGGGCTTATAGGACATGATCCTTGAAAATACTGACCAGCTTTCTAGGGTCCCTCTTCCCTCTAATGTTTTATCCCATGTCATCCTGCCAAACCACTTTACGACTGATGGATTTAAAAGAATAAGCAGCAGTCAAGCTACTCTCAATGTCCCTATGTATTACTCTTTAAAATACAAATTTGATTTGCCATGGCAGTCATCTGGCATGACACAATGCTTTCAACTCTAAGACGTAGGAATTGCCAAGCTGGATTCAAGCCAGCACTCTGTGTTACTGTCTTTGGCAGGAGTCAGCACCATCTGCCTTCCAGGAAATAACTCCACAGTATTCAATGTACAGAGTAATTACTGTCCACTAGGATGTAGTTGGGAAGGCTGGCTTTTGTCCTGAAGTATACTGGTAATTTTTTATATGTAAGTATTATTGTACCTATATATAGTATTAACTACATATATTTTTAATTCTTTCCTAGAGTTAATTTACATTTGGAAAATCTTAAACCTTTAAATAATAGCTCATAAATTTGAAGAAAAAACAAGCTTTTCAGCACAAACCCACTAAACTAAGTTGTTTGAAATCAAGAACAGCAAAAGATCTTGATGTGACACTGAGAGACCACTAAGTATCTGCTAATCAGTTTTTAAGTCTCCAAACCCTTTGCCAAATGATTAGCCTAGGGTCATTCAAATGTCTCCTAATATAAAAGTTACATCAACTGGGTGCAAAACAAGGAGACAAAAGTAAGAAACACATCTTCAACAGAATTACTGATAGGGACTCAAAGCTTTAAACAGCCACATTCATTATTAACCACTCCAATATTTCCAGTGCTTCTCCCTTTGTATCTGGCATGCTTGTAATGATAAGCTCTGCTGGGCAGTTATTAGTCTACACTTGCAGTTAAATTCTGGGTCTATCTAGAGAAAAATTGATCACATGGAATTCACTAAGAGACAGGAATCTTGCATCACTGTTTATTTCCAGACCTGTAATGTGCTTGGATGTCTACAAGATTCAGAATACAAATTCACTGAAATTCCTTGAAACCACATCAAAATAAACAAATACCTTATGGAAGTGCTGCTGTCTGAAGTCTGTGCTGTTGGAGAACCCACTCTGAGGCATCCAGGACTCTGGTCTAAGCTCGTTGATTTTGTTATTTGAGGAGCATTTCTTTTTGATCTCAAGTCACCACTCAAAAAGCTCTTTGCGTAGGAAGCTAAATTTGGTACACTGACAACACGACTGGGCACCTCAACTGGTCTCTTCTGCTGCTTTAAAAAAAGAGAACTATCACACGCGTTTTTTACACTTATACTATAAAAACAATACTTCATTCCTAGGCAATGTGAGAGGAGCATGCAAAAATGAAGTTTCCCATCTTTTTCTAATTTAGAATACATTCTTTCCAGGGTATGCTGTAAGCACCTATGGGGTTAGGTAGTCTGATTAAAACAACTCGTATATTTAACTCTGAGGTTTTAGATATACACAGAACTCAGTTAGGGGCTGATCAGGGACAAACTGCAAGTAGCACAAATCAAAATTCAAAGTCCTTCTTGATACATACAACATCAAAGTAGCTTCCAATTACTTGCAATCGATAGCAGTGCTTCATCCAGTGGAAGACTGAACTGCTTGGGAATCCACTGCTTTGTATTTGCTTAAAAACTTGTACCAATGCACTTCTGCTGAGTTTATGTTTTACTCAGAACCTGCTCACAGGTGAGCCTATTGGAAAGAATTCTACCGAATAACATTACTATAGGAAATTAACAGGATCTTTTCTGTTCTGGTTATTTGTATGACTCAAAAAGGGGCAAAACATCATGATCTGTAATTTTAATTGAATTACCTATCTTACCTTCATAGGAGTCAAACACCCAGGATTAGGGGTGAAAGAAAAAGATCGATTTCTGTAAGATTCAGTACTGGCTAAAAGTGAATGCTGAAATTTTCTTCCTTCCTGAGGGAAAAGAAATTTATACGTTCTTTGGTATGTAAACATATTTATGTTAGATACTTACAGAGCAGAGAGAAAGTATCAATCTGAAGCAATGTGCAAAACACTGAACAGCGCCTTCAAACAGATGCCAAAATACGTACCACCATGTAAAAGTGTATCTTACCACCAGCTGCTTAATAATTTCCTCTCTCTCACTTAGTTTATCTTGCAGGCAACTTATAAGGTGTATATCTTCTGGTCTGGATTCTGGTTTTCTTGTGTTTTCTTCTAATTTTTTAAGTCTGTGCCAAAGAAAGGATGCAGACCAACAAAAATTTTCCTTAAGCCAGGTTCAAGAGATACTTGAGCTGTAGTTTAAATTCCAAGACTAAAACATGGGGACATAATTAGGAGTCTTCAATAGAACAGTACTTTTAAAAATGGGCACGTGTACGTAGACTGTATATAAACACAGAACACTGTGGAGTTCCAAACCAAACTGCCTACCCACTGTAAAAGCCAGCCCCAGTAAAATACTAATTAAGCTTGCACATCATATTACCTATCTAGTTTACTAACGAGAAAAATCTGTACTGCTCTGTCTATTCATATCCATATCTATTTACTTGTTCTCTTTCTGACCCAATAATTTTGGAGTCTACAGGCCAATTCCAAACATATTTGACTGAGGTCTCAGAAATACAAGCTTCCTATAACTTTTATTTAAAAAAGAGGCTCGGATGGTTTGCTGCTTTAGTGAATCCTCTAAGGCAATGCCTGTAGTAAGATTACTGCTCTTTAAATGCCTCAATCAAGGAAAAAGATTCAAATTAGAATTTACACCTTCTTAAAGATGGTGTGGAAACATATGTTTGATTAAACCATGGAAAAAACAACTGATTATTTCATCGGCCAATTTTATGAATTTTGCTGCTCAGGAAACAGAGCCATGAAGTTCATTTCCTTTCACTGTATAGTGAAGTTCATTACAGAATACCTTTTTTTTTTATTTTTTTATTTTCTTGGTGAGAAGAAAAAATTTGAATGAGAAAAACCCAATATTACACTTTTGATTTAGTGTATCTCACAGTTTAGATATGAACATACAAATGTTCAAAGACCTGCCTACTTGCAGGAAGGTCTCTGCTGGAGCTATGCTGCACAGCTGAGATTTGAGTAAACGACAACATCAAAAACAAAGGCTATTTGTGGGAGGCCTCTAACGTACAGCCTGAAGAACCACAGAACTACTTACATCCAAAGAAGGCTGCAAAATGCATCTACTTCCATGATAAAGTGGGGGTTGCAGTTCAAGAATATCCTGAGAAATTTGAAGGGAGGGAGAATGAGGGAGAATGAGTTCAGCTGCTGTGCTGAACAAAATTGAGTGCAAGATGATCGATCAAGGTCTCTGGAAGCATTTGTGACAAAGATGATTTTACACATCATAACACTGTAAGATGCTAAGCACAGTGTTTAATTTATTATTCTAAAACTGTATAATGGTTTCCTTTAAACAGTAATCAGTTTATTACAATGCATCTTTATTTTTGCTTGCAAAGGAAAAACCTATACACTTCTATTTCAGTGCTCATCATATTCTATCCATAAGTAATTTAAATATATACATACAGGAGGAATAATAATAATTTAAAACAGAACTCACTGCCAGTATGAGTCACAGCTTATTTAAATGACATACCCAGATTCTAAGGAGAAGCTCTTTGCTTAGAGATGTGCCTGGGTGCTGTTGAAATCAGATAACAGTTTTGTTTTCCTTCTGGTGATCTTGTTTCAGTACATCCAGTTCTTTTTTTACGTTTCATTTTGAGGCCTGCTACCAGTAACCTTTCATTAGTATTAAAATAATTCTGAATTCTCATGTTTTAATACTAGTTTATCATCATTGATGAAAGCACGCAGTTTTCAGGTCTTTTAGTGGCTAGAAAGGCAGCTGACAGCACAGCTCTGGGGCTTCTGCTGACTGATCTGACTTCATCACATCACTTGCAGTCTGAACTATCCTAACAGGCTGAACTATCCTAACAGTGAGAAAGCCAAGTTCTTTGGAGAAGCAGCGCTCGTTGTTCAACCTTCAGGAAGTGGAGGGTTTTTTTTAATGTAATAATAGTGGTTTCTGTCTATGGCTAGTTTATACATCAATCCTAATGCTCAAGTGTGACAAAATGTAGATTCATATATTTAATATAATATGAATTCAGTAAAATTAGATTGGAATCTCTGAGATTTTAAGATGAGACTTTGATGCTATACTTTGATCCCATCATAGCAAGCAATTAGAAATAGTTAATAATGCCTACCACCATTCTAAACATAGCAAGAAACATTACAGAAATGCCTTCACAGTGTTTGTCTTTAACAGACAATACGTTCTGAAAAATACTATTATTTCATTAGCAACATCAATCAAAAACTAAAAAATGCCCAATACTTTTTTGAGTCCATCCATAACATTGCTTTTTGATGCCAACCCCCAAGACGAAATACATTGATTGAAGAATCATATTATCTTACTGCCTTTTGTTTGCTACTGCTTCATCGTACCCAAGAGAAACTTTTTCATTTGGGGATTTGTTTTCCCATTAAAAACAAACAAACATAAAAAACCTTTCACTGTTCTGATCCTAATCCTTATAGAATGTTTCTGTCCCTGAGGTGGAATTCTCACAACTGAGGAGAACAGAAAAGATTACTTCAAGCAGATTACTGGCTATACTTACTTGGCAACAGTAGCAGTGTTAATTTTAAATAATCAGTTACAAAGATTTGGCAAGTTTTGCAGATAAAAAGCCACAATGAGCAGAAACAACTGTACAATTTAACAGCAGAAACAAATATATTAATGAAGACAAGGTGACTGATGTTAAGGTTACAGTAAAAAGCTGTTATTTTTATACACTCACCAATTTAACTATTGCCTTACCTGAATTATTGGCCCTGCAAAAGCAAAACAAGACCTGCAGGCCGATGTTCCACATTTTCTATCAGTTAACCTCAGAGCAGCTGTATCAGATGCCTACAACCATTTGAGCTCTTTGATTTTCTCCTCTTATTTGAAGGATTTCTCCTTACATAATTTCCATTAATGCTGCTTCTGTTTACTACAGTAGAGCTACACCATCTATCCCCTGTAAAGATTATCCTCCAGCCAGCAGCATTACCATTTTGAGGCCTTTCAGACCTCGTCGCTGACACGTGACTAATTCTTCTCTTCATGAACAGAAGTTCTCAACTCCTCCAAGGCAGCTGGAGGGCACTGATGAAACTCTGCTTGCAATTCTTTCTGTTGATCTTGTTTCAAAAGCTTAAAATGAAAGACGCTTTCAGTATTTCTCCAAAGAACGCAGAGGAAAAAACTTTCTCTCTCATTCTTTAAATATCCACCAACTGGTAGACAGCAATAGAATTACTCTGGCCACTCTGACAGCCTGCAGAGAGACATCCCTTGAGTGCATTTCTCTAGACTATGAAAGCACATAATTTAAAAGCTCCTCTTATACATATAGATGGAGTAGTGGGGAGCATACATTCCACACAGCTGCAGAAATGAACTAAAAGGCATTTCTGTGCCAGATCACTCAACCCCTTTGCAAACAGAACATGTTAAATATTATGACCCAGAAACTTCAAAGGATTCAGTGGCCATAGAAACGCACTGGCCAACTGCAATCTTGTTTCCCACGTAAAAAGTAAGTACTCCAGTTTCTTGTGAGGACATGGGGACACTGCTACTACTGCAACACAATGCATGCTCTGAGCCTGTGGCTCAGGATACTACAGGATGCAGTCCACCTTCTGAAAGACAGGCAAGACTATGAGCTTGCCCTTCTGTGCCCGGACAGCATGTTACAGGTCCAGACTTTTGTAAGCACAGAGGCTCTGTCAGTTTCTGCTCTGACTGCCTCACCCTACAGGGCAAAACTGGCTGCTACAGCCACAGTAGAATCACAGAGAGTACATACAGTGTTCCCAGGTGTTGCTTTTACCATTGTTTTCAGCTACAGAGAATGGGTTTAAAAAGCTAACATTTATTCTCAGAGACTTCTACATTTTTTTAATATGTCTTGAATGACTTTGGGATTTACTGTTTCCAATCCTTTTCAAACTCAGTCAGCATTATGCAGCTTTTTTCTGGTCACCCCTGTGAGGCCACACTGGACAAATTTCTCCATGATGTAGAACTGAACAGTTATTTCAAGTGCTTTTCAGAATGGTTGGAAAAAAGAATATGATACTACTGGTTTTGCAGAACTCCCAGCATCTATAAGTAAAATTAGTACTTAAAAAAAGAAATTCTAATATTACAGTTAGAACATCTCTAATACTAGCTTCAGTAAAACACTCCCTAGAAAGCACTGTGAAGTGAAATTAAGGCAAACCTTTTGTGTTGCTTCTCCTTATCCTGAAGCTGTGCAGGTTCTTGCTTCTGTGTCTCCAACTCAGCACTGAGTAATTCCATTGTGTCCTTCAAAAGTGAGTTCTCTTTTTTGAGCTCAGAAATTTCACTCTGACATTTTTCCAGTTCATCATGAAGAGATCTAATCTGGTTCTGGCTGCTTCCTTCCTAAGAAAAATACAAAAAATATTTACTCATAGTCTCTTATAATTTAACCTGAAGACCTCATTGGACTTGCATGCGTTGATTTTGAGTGAACTGATTTATCAAATTTATGAAATTCTATGTGTGTGACAAAATCTGTGATCACATTTTCCCAAACACGCATTATATTCTCCATAAAACATACATTTTTGTAATGCTTGTGTTGAAGACTCAATCTTTAAATCAAAAAAAGTCTGCCTGTAGGGAAAAGTTGATAAGCAAGGTTAACATTTTTAAGTACGACATGAAGAAAGGAAACTGACTGTATTTCTGCAAAAGAATATTATGCTCTGAGAGAGAAAAGTGATGTTACTGCTTTCAGAAAATATAATAAGATAATGAAGTAGGAACTGGATTCTTGCCTGTTGCTTCTTCAAGGTCCTCACGCTCCTCAACTCCATTTGGAGCTCTTCTATTTGTTTTTTGAGATTTGTGCATGATGTCTGTTGCTCAGAAATTTCTACCCTTAGAGATCCTAATAACACCAGAGGGATAATAATTAGGGCAGTTGGAGGCCAGGTGGGCAGGGGAGGTAGATATAGACAATGCTGATGCAAACATTAACATTACATTTTGCTTTCTCCCTTGGTGCCTTTGCCATTAGTAAACAGTAATAGAGGGAAAAAAAAAAAAAAAAAAAAAAAACACATCCTCACTGGTAAAAGCCAAACCTATTAATAGACAACTCAACTAAGCAATAGTACAAAGATGCAGAGTTACAACTGCAACAACTCAGTGTCAGAATCAGAGAAGTAAGGTCTGTGTCACTGCAATTGCTTCTTCTAACCTTGGATTTAACTGCAGCACTCTTGAGCTTCATTGCAAAGTCCACTGCTGTTTTGTAAAAAGCCATAATGAAGGCTGAGAGCTCTGTTTGTGTTATCGAAATGCAACACTTAAATAAGCAGATCTGTCATGTACTGATATTTTGTAGACTGTGTAAAAGTTCCAGGATGGATCAAGTACAAGGAGAAAGATGTTTGCTTCTCTCATTCTTACAATTTTCCTTGAAGAAGCAGAACATAAATTATCTATTGAATGTATTAACTTTAGAGAGCAACAAATCTTTCTAATAAGTTTGAATGATTGAAAAAAAAGCAAGAACAGATCCTCTTTATTCTTGAAGTATTTCTAAATTATTATTTCTTTAGTTAAGAAGCATTTTATAAGTGAGCTTTAATAACCTGAATGTAGGCCTGGAGATATTACACATTCTCATACCGCAGTGTTCTGTTTAGATCTGAACTATCCAGGGAGCTTTGTAAACTGAATAAAGAATACATATGTAGCCACAGATCTTACAGCTGAACTCAGCAGAAAGACTTGAATCACATATAATAATTCCCCACATAGAAAAAAAGAGGGAATATATATACCAACTACAATCTTCCTAATCAATACATCCATTTATATATACTTGTATGCTGTATACAAGCTGCTGACAGCACAGTGAGGTCAACAAACAAAGGCTAAGTATGTATTGCTGGAAGTGTAGGGTATGGGAAAGGAGATGATCCAGAAAATGGGAAGGAAAATGAATGGGTTGAATACCACCACATCAAAGCATATCATCAAGCAGTAGGAGCTGTGTATGCATAAGGCATTATACCTAGCAACAGAGTTTGCTGCTTCTGTATCTGCTCGAGTTCATCCTGTAATTCTTTCTTTGCTCTCTCTTCCAAGGTTTGCATTTCCAGCCTATGAGACTGATGTTGGATTTTGAAAGTCTCATTAAACTCCTTTTTCAAACGCTCTTCTGCCTCCTGTAAGCAAACACCCCCCCCCCAAAAAAGAAAGTAGTCAGAGCCTATGTATCACCTTATTGGTTTACTTGTAAACCTGGATGAATCTGGTCTTTCATTGCAGAACTTTCATTATTTTCATCATCATTTTGTGTGACACTTCATCAACATAAGAATAAAAATGACCAGAAGATGAAAATGAAAACTTAATATGGACAAGATAAACTATCACAATATCTTCTATTAGATTTGTTGTGCAAAATGAAGCAACAACAGTGACATATTTGGCACTAAAAAAATGTTTTTACCATTCACCAGAGACCCAGATTTGAACTAAATACCTCTTCTTATCACACTGTGTCAGACAAAGGCTTCTATCTTTCATTTAGTCTTTCTTGGACAGAACTTCTCATTGTCACTGGAAGTGCTACTGATACCTTGCTGGAGTAGTTGCTCTGTAGTGGCTCTGAGAACAAGCTCCTATTACCAGTTTCATTTTTATCAGCTACTGCCTCCAGCTTGGTTTGATAAAGCTGGGATTTGATTCTCAATATGTAAACAAAACATTAAATCATTTTTATAGGGGTTTTACCAAATGCATTTAAAAAGGTTTTCCCTAACATATGCAATACAGAAAAGAGATATATTAAATCCAAGTGCATTTAGACTTTTAAGCTTTTTTTTTTTTCCCCACTCGAACAGATATTTTCTTCATTACTTCATTATACTGCAATAACATTTTGTCACTGAAAAAAATCCCCTTGAACCTTTAGAAGCTTTCATTATCTACCTATAGAATTCATTTCTTGAAAGCATCTGATTCCTGTTAATAAAACAGGAGCTTATATATAGTATAGTATAAAAATAAATTTGCATTCATCTTAGCCTAACTACAGACTAGGACACAGTATTTTATAGAAATAATTTCATTCATACTGTGATCTCAGTAAAAGAAGTTAAAATGAAAACACCATCACCACAAACCAACAAAAAAACCCAACCCTTAAGATAACAAGGTTTCAAAAATCGCAGAATAGCTCCTTATGAGCCACAACGGCAGCATACAGTTAAGGTAACAGGTAATAACTGAGCTGATATCAGGGGTTTCCAATACTGTTTAGCCCACTCTTCTGTGTTTTTTTTTTTTTTTTTTTTGGTTTTTTTTTTTTGTTTGTTTGTTTTTTTTTTTAAACTCATGTCTCATAAACTGACCTTGAGTTCCTGTTTTTTGTTTTTCTCCAACATTTTTAAAACTTTTTGATGTGACGCTTCCAGCTGCAGTTTAACGTTCTGGTTTTCTTTAATGGTGTTTTGAAGATCCTGCAAAAGCTTCTCCTTTTCTTTGCTGGACTGCAGATTGTGTTTCTTCAGTGACTCCTTGAAATTATCTGCTTGTTGGTCTAGTATTTGCCTCAGCTGAGCCACCTGCCAGAAAAGCAGGAAGGGATTAATGGCTGTACTAACAATGGAGAAGAATTACGTAAACCTGAGCAAATTCTATGATCTTGTGATGCTCTGTGAAAAATAGCAAGATGCTTCATACAATGAAACAATTGAATACAGTTTGATGCAATGAGCCCCTTGCTTCACTGAAGAAGGGAGCTAAGTGATTTTTTCCAGATAGCCAATATAGCAATCCAGAATGGTTACCCAACTGAAAATATTCAAAGGCAAATTTTAAAAGCTTTTTTTTCATAGCGATGCCATTAAGCAGGAAAATTTGAATTCATCATTTGAAACATTTTCATTTAGAAACTTAATTTCTTTATTTAAAATGACAGACAAAATAAGGTAATCAAATGCTACTCAATTTTACTCTTACTATGGTGCTACTACATCAAAGCAGTAACACAGTAGAAGTAGTAACAACATAATAACAGAATGCTATTTTATTGCTGTTTTAAGGCTTACTTCAGTTACCTCAGTTAACTTCACAGTTAACTGCTTCCCAAGATTTATGGCAAGACCTGATTGCAGGGACAGGAGCAAGCACAACAGGCACACCTCTACAGCTGCTATAATTGTTTGATACTCACAAGCCTGCCACCAAGGTTCTGATGAATCCTGCCCTTCTATTTTATGTACCTTGTAATTCCAGAATAGTCTCTTTACAGTTGTTGAACAGATCTTGTAGTGCAAAAGTAAGGGATTGGAGGACTCCAATAAATTAGCATTCAGTCCACACGGGACTTTATATCTTTCCTTTCAAGGCACCAAATAGGTGCAAATCTGGCTTATTTATCAAGAAAAAAATAAAAAAGTCAGTGATATGGAAATATTGCAGTTTTGAAGTGAGTCTCCAGAGAAGACTAATTATCATGATTCTGTCTACTCTGCACAGTACTCTAGCTATGTCAGCCCAACCAAAAATATGCCTTATGCTGCTAAGAAAGCTATTTTTAGATGTGAAATACCATCCAGGTTAGAGCTGGATTAGTAACAGCACATTGCCTAGTCTCTGAGGCGGAAGCTCTGGGCTGAGCCACTGCAAAGTTCCCAGCTGGGAATCACGCCCTGTGTGAAACATAATGTGATACAGTGAATGGTTGTTTGTTGGCTGTGAACAGCCAAATATCTATAAAAGGAAAGTATTGTCAGTTGAAACTACTTCATTTCTCTGGTGAAGTAATTTCAATTGCTTAGAGGCAATACCTCCAAGTAACTGGTTCAGAAAGTAACAAAAAATACCAACAACAATGCAAATTTTTGCTTCAGAGGAACCATTTCCATTTTCACACCACTGTTAGACTGCAGGATGCACTAGATTGTTTTTTAGCGCATCTGTTCATACTCACATGATATTGTGAATATAACATACAATATGATGCACACTATATTACTTGCTTTATGTAGTTAGCAACAATATTTTCTCAGCATTCCTTGCATCTACTATGAACTCACAGTATCATAGGACTAGCAGATAGGAAACAGGCTTCCTCTCCTGTTGCTCTGGCCTGAATTCATGACTTCAAGAAAAGTAATTTGATGGCTCATTGCTTTACTTTTCGCATCTGCAAAACCTGAACAATAATTATTTCATTAAATAAGCCTTTTGATTTCTTTGAGGCCTCCCAATGGAATATATATGCATAAATGTATGCAATAGTATCAGGTTTCCCTTATACCTCAAATCAGTACAACTTTCAGGCACTACGTATGCCAGCATACCACAGTAAGTTTTCAGCTTTGAATAGACTAGGATATTTTTTTCCCTTAAGGGAAGATTAGAAAAGAATAAAGATGACTGATTTCTAAGAACCTGCACATTGCATTAGATGCAAAGAAGTCACTTGGGTAGGCCAACACAAGTTGGATTGATCTGAAATTCTCCTAATGAAGAACACTGTAGAAAACAGTGACATGCAGATGTGTAATAAAACCTAAAACCAGGACTTAGCCAGAAATTTAGAAGATTAAGAACTACATTTATATTCTGCATTTGTAACAGTGAGTAATGGATAGACTGTCAGAATGCAACTGTTTGGTACCGGAACAGGCAGAGGACTACATTTCATTCAGAACTATCACAGCTGAATGGGGAGAAAAGCAGATATTATATAGTAAATGACCACAACAAATGCTATGATTGCTGATATATACAACACACCAAGCAGTATAAAAGGAAGGGGAAAGTGAAAGCAGGTGGGACAACATCTTGCTTACGCCCCTGATGGGTCTATCTGTTCTTTCTCTGTCTTTGCACACCGAAAGAGGTCTTATTATAGCCACTCAGAAATTGCAAAAGCCAGCTGAGAAAATCTCAGGTTTCATCTCTTGCTATGCAAGATCCTACTGAACTTCCTGGAAGTGAAACTGCTTAGAAGCAGTGAAAATACAAAGTGATGGAAATTAGAGTCAGTCACAACAACAGCGGTTACCTCTAATTCACTTGTTCAGCAGTGTTAGCTACCTAATTCCTGTTGCTGTCCATTACTTTAAACTAAACAGGATTTTGTGTATTTGGGAATATTCTGATTTTCTTTGGTAATATTTTGGCTTCTTAAAACCCAGATTGGCAGGAAAAAGTAGAAAACACTTCTCATGATGAAAGCACTCTTTACCTTGTTAAGCAATTGCTTTACAGGGGTTCTGTTTTGTTTTTTACAGAAAATTATCCAACCTCCAGGCATGGCTTTTCAAATCATGACATTTTATTGTACAAATATTTTGGCAGATGAAGTAGTCTGGAAAATTTGCATTGCTTGGCTTGCACCTAACTATACCCACAGGTGGATAGTCTAATAGCAGAACATCTCAGGTACTCATTTCCAGATTAATACATGTTAGCAAATTTCTATTGCAACTTAGCTATAACTGGAACAGGGAATAGTACATAAGGTACATAATCTTAAAAGTTACTTTGGAGTCATGATGCTTTCTCTACTTCATTTTTGATCTTGAGAACATAGACACGTAAATAATTGCTAATATATGAACTACTGCATGCTCTAACCTGCTTCAGTCACCCCATCAGCTACTTCATCAGGCAGGAAAAGCAAAAATAATGAGCCACTCAATCTTTCTTACCATTCAATTTTCTTGCTTAAGGAAGCAAGCAAACAAGAAAGCCCTTTTACACATCTACACACACAAAAACAGAAGATTTCAAATCCACACAGCCCCATAGGTAAACAGTCAGTCACCATACAACACAGATAGAGCCAAATTCCTTAGCATAAAGCCATAACATAACACCAGAGACTGGTATATTATGAAATTTATCAAAATAAATAAGCATGTCAAAAATCTTCATAGACATTAAGGAACAAGTGTTTTTTGTTATTTCTACCTTGCATATTTTCTTGAATGACAATGACAGCAAATATGATTACACAGAATTATAGAATTGTTTGCGTTGGAAGGGACCCACAAAGGCCATCTAGTCCAGCTTCCCTGCTGTGAACAGAGGCATTTATATTTACAGAGCATGGTCCAGCCTGACCTTGAATACCTTCATGGATGGGGCATCCATCACATCTCTGGGCAACCTGTTACACATGTAATCAAGAGTCGTCCAGAAGAAAAAAATGAAAAGCCCTTTTATTACTAACTTACATTTATGACTAAGCTTACCTCAAGTGAAGAGTTTTGAAGTTTCCCAGTTAGGGCTTCTTTTTCTTTCTCTAGTTGCTTTATTTCACACTCAGATTTTCTTTTAAATTCCTCTAGCTGCGTCTGGAGTTCCTTAAGTCCAGAAACAAAAGAGTACACAATTTACTTAAGATTTCCTTAGTAACTTTCTGCAACGCTCTAAGAAGAGATGATTATAAGCAATAATATTTGTAGCCTAGAAGTAATAAACATCTACTTAAAAAAAAAAAAACTATATTATGAAATAATCAGCATTTAAGCTTGATCTGGCTTGCGTGAAGAGCTTGTCACATCATTTTAAGTATAACTTGTACAAAACCATCCTCATAAAACAATACTGCATGTAACAGACAAAGTCCTTTTAGTAAGGCTTACACTTCATAGTGCAACTACGTTCCTTGAAACACTGTATCTTCACACACAGATCTCTCACAACCAGATAAAATAATTTACTCTCATAGATTCCTTTATGAGAAGTGGTAGTGCACAAATGCACAAACTTCAGCAGTTTCATAAACAGAAACGAATTCTTCTGAAGAGCACTGAACACAATTCCTAGCCTCCAGAATCTGGAAGGGACTACAAAACATAGCATTAAGTGACAGAACTCCTTCCATGACTTCAGAACTCATCTGCAAGAGTTTTGATTATTCTCAAAGAGATGTTGAACTTGGAAAAGTACAGCAGCATTAAAACTGAGAAAAAACAAAAAGCAACAGTAGAGGTCTATAGAACACTTGGCCAGCCTGATTGTTCAGTTCTACAGTCTGCTCTAATACATGTGTTTATTTCTTCTGTCTAATAAGATCCTGAGAAACACATCACACAAAATACAGTAGGAGATGAAGAATAGATCTGGCCTTAATCTGCACTCTAGTTTGGCAAACTGCTTAGACACACACTGAGTGTGAGCATCACTGCACATTAAAACACACGCTTAAAATTAAACACATTGCCCTACATTCCAATGCATTTCTGCCCCCACTGGTGTTCCTACTGCACAGAAACATTACAGACTGCAAATCTACAAAGGACTGCTAGGTAAGATAACAATTTATCACAGCACTTCTCACAATGGTGGAATTCTCTGAAGAATGTCTTAAGTCAATTGTTGCTAATGTGTACCAATAAGAAAATTAAAGCTCAGCCATTTGCAACACAGTGAGAGAGGGCACTGCTCAGGATACTTGTCTGAATCCACAAAGACAATCATTCTTTGTGACTTAACTTAAATAAGGTCATGCATACACACTCATGTTTTCATTTGTAACTAGTGGTCGTGTCACTAAGAACACCTGCCTTCCAAATCCATTTACTAACACTTCGTAGAACTAGTTCCTCAGCCTAAACAATGCCAAATTTTGATTAAATCAAAGTATTTGAGTATTTCATAGCAGAGATCCATGGAAATTGAAGTCAGAAATTGGAATACACCCACAATACATATTTCTTCAGGAGTGAACTCACATTAATCACTCCAGCTGCCACATGAAAAGCATGTAATTCTAAGTGTTGCTAAGAAGGCAGTTCGTCACATCAAGGATAAAGTCACCTCCCTGCCTCTGGAGCTTTATGCAAAAATACATCAGCTTGACGTTTTTTCCCCTCCATTTTTTTCTTTTCCTCTTAGTAAAACCATAGCAAGAAAATCCTCCATTTTATGATTCAAAATGCCTCCAGTAAGGATAAATCAAATGATGTCACTGTGACCAATAAGATTAAAAACAGATGAATTAGAGCTTCTATAAATAGAACACTTCTACCTCCTGCTTTTTGCAGCTTGCTTGAAGTTTTAGATTAAATTGATTACCTTCATATGCTTCATTATGAATCTTCCAACCCATTTAACAGCATTCCTTCAGACAAGTCTTCCCCTTACGGAACTGATAGTTGCCTTTACAATGCAAGTTCTTTGTGTCTTTTAATTCATACCTTTTTTAATTAGCTACACCTTTCATAATTTATAAATCACATTCGTTATATAACTTGACAAAACCAAGGTGAAATTCTGGGGACCATTACCCATCTTGTAGGGAATACTCTACTTCAGTGGGTATCCTCTGTTGAAAAGTGCTGTATTTCAGTAAACAATATTGAACTATAACCATGCAGGGTTGTATGACTCATCTTCAGCCTAGGTCTGGTTGGGGTTTTGTTGTTGTTGTTGTTTTTCGTTTGTTTCCTATTTTGCTTCAGCTTTGGGTGCGTGTCTCATTTTCAAGTATGGAGGCTTCCTCGAGGACAACTTCAGTTCTTCGGAAAAGTACAGGGGGTGATTTTTTTTTTTTTGTTACATTCCCAATAGCAATTCTAATTTTACACAACGCTAGCATTAACAGACTTCCAGGAATTAAATATATATTTCTGTATCTATCTATACATCCTCACACAGAAAAGATTTGTGTCTGGACAGTCAACAGGGGAAGACATTGTACAGAGGGAACTCTCAGGATACAACCAGTCATCGTACTGACTATTTCTGGTATTACTTCTGTTTAGCTTTTCAGAAGAACAGACTTTGTTCTTTACCTAAAAATAATTTTAAAAGTTTGTGTTTCAATTGAACCTCAACAGAGAAAGTCTGATTTGTTTCCTTCCACTTCTTAGTTATAGAAGTTGAATGCCACCCTGGTCCAGATCAATTTCACTTTAAGGATATCAACAGTTCCTTTGCTATCACTGAGCAACTCTTGAAGTTATGAACATGAGTCAGTGTTCCATTGAATGAGGCCGGAGGTCTAAGAATCCCACAAGATTGATTTCTATAGAATAACCCCCAAACAAGAAAGAACATTGCAAGAAAAATGACATTGATTTCAGTATATTTTTGCATGCTGTGGCTTTGAGTGTTTAAGAGCAAACCATTTGATTAAGCTCTCACATGTGTTCAGAGCCTCTCTTGTTTTGGCTTTGTTTGGTAGAAATCATTTGCTGCAGTTGAATTATTTGATGCTTTAGTTCATCTACTTCATTTGCAGCTTTGCTCTGGGAATTCAATAGAGCTTCCCAACCTTCTACAGAAGCAACATTTGCATTTCAAATAGCATAACTAACTTGTGGAATTTCCAATGAGAATGAGTAACAAGGGAAATCATTCAGAATGACATTAATGAGCATTTATTTTATATTTTACCTGCTTTTTGCAGGATTTCCTTCTGCTGAAGCATATTCCTCTCTTTTACTACACTTAGATCTTCCTCCACATTTTTTTGATTCCAGAATTTCCTGCTGTATTCCCTTAAACTACACCTCAAAATCCTAAAGCATGTATTGTGCTTCATTATATACATTCATTTTTTTGTCATCTGAAATAGTTGGGTTTTTTCCTCTCTTTTGGTGCAGTTCCATTATAATGATCTTTCACCAAAAGAGCTTGTTCAAAATAACCTTCTTCTCTTCCATACACTTAAATTAACTCTGCTGCTAGAACATTTGTAACGTGGAGCCATTCCCTCAGCAGGCGTCATTGTAAGGTGAACACCCAAAGAGTTACCATCTAAAATATGCCTATAATTACCCTAAACTCGTAACAGGCCATAACTCCTTTAATTTCCTGACAATCCGTACTAAAAGTTAACAAATGAGATTTTTGATGAAATTTTATTTTTCCTTCATCCTTGAACACAGTTGTTCACAAATATACACATTGCCCAACAATGATTATGTGAATAAAATGTGACAATTAAGTGAAGAATATTGATAAGCTCTTTCTTAGCAGAAAGAAAAGTCCAGTAGAGAGACACGTTCAGATTTTTTGAATTGAATGTCTATACATTCCATTTGAAAATCCGCAGGTGGAGTATTTATGCTGGCTGAAAATGGAATCACAAATATACTAAGAAAAATGATAACTTTTTTGCAATCTTGAAACTTGTTCTCGAATTCCATTATCACAACGGAAAGCACAGCTGCATATTTTCTGCTGCTCAAAGAACTGTGGTTAGCCAATGTATCTAAATTCCTACCATTATTTGCCACCACTTGAGTTAACTCTGCACTATTCTCACTCCATGTCCTGGTTTCAGACTAGATAGGGTTAACAGCACACTGATGTTTGGTCATTGCTGAGAGATGGGTTTTGCCAGCCACTGGCCACCGCTATGATGGCAAGAGGCAAGTGGCACGGGATGGATGCCCCTGCTTTAAAGATTCAAGGCAATTTCTAAGTTGGTCATAATTCAGCCTCATTTCACAGTCTTAGAGGATCTGAAGTGTACATAGGTTGAGTATATGTCTATCAGAAAAGATTTCAGTTTTATCTAGCTGATATTGAATGTAAAAAAAATCAAATCACCAAAGACATCGCTTATTTCCAGTTTCTACTGCATTCTGACTTTTTTTATACCTGAAACACTGTTTCTCTTACATTGTTAAGCAAAAGAGTAAATCACATGCCTATATTCTCATGAATGCTATGTACTAATTAATCATTTACAGTCATTCTTTAAAACTCTCCGCACTATAACCTTCCATTTCTGCCCCGAGTCTCAAGCACTGCTCTAATGCTTACAAAGCATTTAAATCAAAATGAAACTTAGATTTCTCCTTCCCCAAATCTTAAAGAATTATAATTTGCACTTTAATAGGCAGAGATAAAGAGCACAGTCTTATACTTTACCTGTATTCTTTCTTTGAGCTTCTGGGAATGTTTCTTCCTCTCATTTATCTTCTGACTTTTCTCCTCTAGGTCTGCCTCCAGTTTCTTTACCTGCTGCATCCAAAAACCTTTCTCAGCCTCTGAGCAATTTCTTTGCTCCATTTCTCTTTGCTGATGATGATTCCTTGTTTCTGTCATAGATTGCTGTGTAGACTTTTTCAAAGACTCTCTTCCCCTCTCACAGGAGGCTCGCAGTTGGCTTGTTTTCTGAGTATATTCTTTAATTGCTCCTTGGTTCTCACTCCTCAGGTTTTCCATTTCCTTTATTAGAACTCGACCCTCCATGCTCAATTTTTCAGCAAAAATATCTTCATCTAAATTTTCTCTCCTAGATAGTTTGCATTCATTTTGTTGTCCATTGGTCCGTTTGTTTTCAAATTCTGCATTAGTATCTATTGTGTCTGTGGAAAGGGCCACATGTGTGACTTTTACTTCTGCTCTTGGTTCCCTCTCTTCCACCTGCTTCTTGCACAACGTTAACTCTGCCAAGGCTTCTTCCTTTAGTTTCCTGTGTTGTTCTACTGCAGTTTCAAGGGCTTGAATATGTTTTCTCAGCAACTGTTCTTCTTCAACTTTACTTTTGTACTGGAGAATAGTTTCCTTCATCTCAGCAAGAATGTGCTGAACTTCTTCTTCATGAGCTTCTCTCAGAGCCTGTATACTATCTTCGTGTTCATCATTCTTAGTGTTCAGTGCATATATCACCTACAACATGAAGAAGAGCAACAGGAGATAATAGAATCTAGTAAACAACAGTGTTATGAATTCAGTTGCTATATTTATAAAAAGAATTACAGTACTATTAAATATTTTTTGCCTTTTTTCCTCACTAGCAACAGAAGGGATAATTACAAACTGCAAATCCTTGCAAGGAAAGAAGACAATACTGTGAGAGCTTTTTTTTTTTTTTTTTTTTTTTTTTTTTTTTAAGATAATGCTTTTTTTTTTTCCCTTAAAAAGTTATTCCCTCATACATCAGGTTTAATCTTTCATACACAGCCCCTCCTCAAGCTGACTGACTCCACATTAGTAGTTCAGTTCATCTCACCTTCATTCCAGCAGCACCTTCTGCCACACTGCCTTTAGCATTATCTAGTGCTGAGAACCTACAGAGGCAAAAGTCTGCAGCCTGTGTTGTATAAAGCCTGAATGTTTTTCCTGGATTACTGAATTTGCTTGGATGCATTTAACCATTTTTGAGCTGTTCATATACTGAATAACTTGCTCCATTTCAGTTATCCATAAATGAAAGCAAGCAAACATCTTGTGCAAATTTACTTCCTCCTTGGCAATAACGAAATAAATCATAGAATCACAGGGGTTGGAAGGGACCTCAAGAGACCGAGTCCAAACCCACTGCTAAAGCAGGCACCCTGCAATAGGTTGCACAGGTCTTGAATATCTCCATAGAAGACTTCACAACCTCTCTTGGCAACCTGTTCCAGTGCTGTCGCCCTTACCACAAAGAAGTACTTCTGCATGTTTGTACCGGCCATCCTATGTGAGGTTTCAGGCCATTACTCCTTGTCCTATTATTACTCACCACCTAGAAGAACCTGGCCCATCCATTTGCTTCCCATCTCCCTACAGATATTTATATAAATCAGATCCTCCACAATCTTCTTTTCCTGAGATTACTCAGTCTTTCCTCATGTGGGAGGTGCTCCAGACCCTTCAACATCTTTGTGACCCTCCAGTGGACTCCTAGGAGATCCCTGTCTTCTCTGAACTGGGGAGCCCAGAACTGGACACAAATATAGAAGCTGTGAAGAATCACAGATGCAAAACATGGTCTGGATACATTTCTGAATAAATATGTGGTAAAAGACAGTAATGACATCATATTCCAGAATACAAGCAGACAAGAAGTCATAGTCTACACTTAAACACATGTGTTGTTTGACCTTAGATTACACATTGTAAATATTTCTGTTATTTTTGATAATTTTTTCTATGAAACAGAAATAGTTACAGGATACTAAGCAGAATCCTTCACACCACAAATGGTAACTGAAATTCCACCACAAACTTTTTTTTTTTTTTAATTAAACTTCCTCAGGAAACAGACTTAAAACTACAAGAGAACTGTGAATTTTGCCTGTGGCTTTAGAATGACCAGTAATTATCTCAGGCAATTCTTCAACTAATTAGGTCAAATTAGTAATCACATATCTGTATTTGATTTCAACAGCAAAACAAAAGATAAGCACTAGAACACCCAGCCTTTGTGATTTAAAAACTTCTAGCTTTAGCAATGAATTTATCTACTAAATCCGCCTGCCTCGTATTGTGTCATATTTGGTCTGACAGTGGAATTTGGATTCCTCCAAAGTCTGACTTAATTGTCAAAGTTCCTCAAATTCCACTGAGCATTAGAACAAATTGGAGACATTCTACAATAATGGTTATCACCAACTCCTTAAATGAGTCACCTAAAAGCTCTGGAAGAAACCCATCTCCCCGCTCTATCGGTTATTCCTATCCATCAGTTCAATAGTGGCTAGAATCACAAGGAAGAATTCTCACTTGAAAATGCATGGCTTTCAATTTAATATTCAGGCTTGACTGTTGAAACCAATTCTTCAGTATCTTAACCTTCTTAAAAGATTCAACTTTCAGAGGGCTGCTGGCACGTACTTTCTGAAATTTAAGCCCCTCACAAATGCCTTTCACTCCCTACTGAATGTAGCAACTGCATTCCTATTCCAGACACCTCATTTTAAGAGACTAGAGTTATGTGTAGATGAATCTGGGAGTTTATGTGCATTCTGCTGTAAGGAAAAATACTGAAAAATTATTTCAACACCTGCACATTGCAGTGCACACACTGCTTACTAACGTGGTACAAGACTCTCAATAGCTGTGTTGATAAACAGTTCTTTAAAAGGATCTCTAAAACAGATTGGTTAGACAGCACAGAGAATTGCCTTCAAATGAAAGGAGCACTAGTTCACACCATGAGTAACTAGCTTAATAGCAATGGCAGCCACTTCCTCCCAGTCTCTAAAGGCATTTGGGTATTGTACTGATTTTACAACAACTGAGTTACACAACAGGTTGGTAAAAACACTGTTACACACTACACACCACCAGAGCATTATCAGCACAGTGAATATGTCTAATTAGCCTTATTTTATTCTTCTACTGATGTGAATCTAAATGGCATTTTATTTCCCTTCTGCTTTTCTTTATGCTGCAATAAATAGCAAAAAATAAAAAAAATCAGCTCTACCTCATTAGCAAAGACAAAGGTAAAGTATTAAAACTCAGAAAGACTTCTGTATTCCTACAGTAGCATCAACAAATACTATTAATACAGTAGCTTAACTACCACAATTAAAAAAAAAAAACGGTTCTAGCAGGTTGCCTTACTAGCTGAATAAGAATCGAGACAGTTTGGGATGGAAGATAAGGATGATAAGAAGAAGCAAATAAAGGATTGCAGAAGGTTGTCCTTTGGACCCAAGCTAGTATAATATCTTTGCTTTCTAAAAGTGGACTTGCAGGTAGAAATACCAAAATCTCTACAGTAAGTTTTCAGATTACATAGCTTACTATCATCATGTTCAAGAGAAAAAAAAAAGCTATAAAATACAATTATTTTCATAAGAAATTCATGGCTGTTTTATCCACTCAGTACATTAAAATTTACTTGAATCAACACAGACCATATTGAGGTTGATTTTCACTTGTAAAACCCAATAAAAATACCTTATTTCAAGCTTTTAATTGGCAGCAAGTTAAAAATATTTTTCCAAAATTTCCCACCACTCAAACTTCTGTCCATCCTTGTGTAATAGGCACAGCTAACAAATTAGTAAAGGCAGAGATGCAAAGAGCCACAGCCAGGATCACCAACATCCACATTTAATGCTAGACCTGGTTGCCCAGGGTCCCATCCAACCTGTCCTTGGAAACCTCCAAGAACAGGACATCCATTTATTACTGTTCCTTCCATTTTGACATGGAAACCCTAAGAAACAGACGACTACCTTAAAGCACAGCTACCACAGAAGGTCCACGGCAGCCACCAGTAATTACTGCAAGAAAATAATAAGAAGGAAGTTTCCTATACAAGAGATGGGATTAATCTCCCCTAACACCACTCCTTCCATCATTACACATCTGATCCAGGTTAATCAAAGGAGAAAGACAGGTGCCCCCAAAAGGCAACATTCCTGTTTCCAGTGCAGTTGTCTAGAACAGGTAATGTAAGTGAAATGAATTCTTCCTAGTGTTTGACTGGTTTTGATGTGGTTTTTTTTTTTGGTTTTTTTTTTTTTTTTTTTTTTTTTTAATTCTGCACTCCCAGATTCCCAACTTTTTCCTCTCTGTAGAGTTGACAAAAATCACACGTAGAGGGATGAGACAAGTTTGAATTCTTAAAAGCTGAAACTACTTCATTTTCCTCTGCTCCATTCTTCTATGAGGTTTCCGTAGGCTGTAGAGAATCTCACTTCACACTGTTTTTATGTCTGCACATCCACTTCATGTTGCCCTGCAAACTAAAACATTTAACATTTAGATACTGTACAAATCTACTTTGATGCAGGATCTTGGAAAAGTCAGCCTTTTGCAGCTTCCCTTTGCTTTCCATCTGTTATTTTTTTTTTCTTTCAATCTTGTTTTGGTGTTTATGACTCTCCTTGAATTAGTATCACCTGAGACATTTAGTATGCTATTTGTTTTTACTTCCAGATAACTCATTTGTGAAATAAGGTGAGCTCACACGCAGATGATTTTAGCTTCTGCCCCCTACAATCTGTTATCATAAACTTTTTTTTTTTTTACAGTTCCTGATTCATGTTGCATCTTCTCTCTCAAAATCCTTTCATACGTAACTCTGAAATCACTTTACAAAACTTAAACAACAAAAGCACCTTAATTTTAGATTCTGAGTGCAATTAAAAAAAATCAGTTCACGTGGCATTTACATGAAACTTATTTCTATTTCTTTGCTCCCCTCATGATGAATCATATTAAACAGGAATATTTATCAAGTTGAGCAGCATTCAAATGCTTCCATGGAGAATAATTATCTTTCAGTAAGAATAGGTGAAATTTGTGTCAATTAAAATCCACAGGTTAGATGAAAACTTTTAAAATAATGCTTTTTTGAAAAAAGCTTTAAAATGCTTTTTCACTGATAAATCCACTGATGTGTTTGATATGCAGATACACATAAAAGCAGTGGTTAGGAGCAAATAGATTTCAGAGTATTTTCCATTCACCTACTGCAATCTCCGTCTTGGGAAAATTCTTGCATAACTCCTGAAGACCTCAATTACCCCATAAATCTTTTGCTTTTACAGTTCTGGGTAAGTTCATCTTGCAAAACTGTTTCATGCAGTTAATATGCAGGAAACAGATGCCTTCAAAAAAAAATCACTTTTATATCTGTCCCATCTGTCTGCTTTAAGATCACTGTAGTGCAGGTGAATTTTCAGTACAAACGTTTAAGGGTTTATGCTAAGAAAAGGAATTAAAAGGCCTTATCTCCGTGTATCTCACTGAGAATGTTTTTTGTTGTGTTCTTTATGCTATAAATCTTCAAGGTGTCTAAAATTGTAGATACATGTTTAGTTGTTTTAAAGACTTGTTGGCTTTTGTTCTGTTTTGCTGATCATTCTAGGCACCTAATTGAAACTTCAGCTTTTCAAAAGAGCTTTAACAATGTTGGTACAGATTAATGCAACATCGCCCAG